ATGACATGGTGTCGTGGCATGAAAGAGAGCTGCAAAGGGCTAGCTTCCGTTGGTCCTTCACGACTCCCTGGTTGGGGTCCGAGAGATAGTGCAACACAGTGGCTAGAGACGTTATCGGATATGGCTCAGAATAGAAGCCAGTGGCGATCCTGCTGCAACCTTCTTTTACTTTCTACATAAAGAATGGTTCTAACTTTCCTAACTGAAAGAATCTTCTGGTTGTACATTTCAGCCCGCCTTATCTTTTCATCCTTTATCTACCTACTTTCATTATTTTGTGTGGCGCATATGTACCTGGTGCCCTTTTGTACCAATATATATGTGTTTAAATAAATAAATAAATAATCTTTCAAGTCAACTTTCGAGGACGCTTTGGAACTAAAATGGTTCAAATGGTTGTGGACGGAATAGAAGAAGCTTTCGCTTAACGGGCTTCCGTGTCTAGTAGCAGTGGATCACCAATACCTCCAGTCAAGAACCTAGGTATATTAACGATAATAGGAAAAAAGGAAATTGGTAAATCATAATAATATGTAATCCTTAGTCCTTAAGAATAGGTCAAGTTTACTCTTAAAGAACTCCTGGGAAGTCGCTTGGACTAGATTAATCGTCAGCGAATCCCAGCATTTGACAACTCGTAAGGAGTAGAGATTGTGTCTATAGTCCGTTCTGCTATGTTGGGTCTCCAGTTTCTGGATTTTACCCCTTAGATTAGTATTATGACTAAGCTTAAGTATATGTTTGAAGTGTTAAGGTCACCTGTAAGACGCCTTTACTTTAACGAGTAGAGATTAGGTGATTGGAGGCGCTCTCCATAAGGTTTGAATTCGAGTTCTCGAACTGATTTCGCGGCTTGACGTTGGATACGTTCCAGAGTGTCCTTATCCTTTTGGAGAGAGGGAGGAAATACCATGTTTTCGTACTCTAAATGGGAACTTATAAAGCTGTTGAGGATTGTGTGGAAAGTTCTTCCGTCAAACTGGCCAAAAGTGCGCTTCAATATTATCAGTGCAAGGTTTGCTTGAAAAGCATTTTTGTCACAGTTAGCATACGACTTTAGGTCGTAGGGTACCAACACTCCTAAATCTTTTTCGACTTGGGATACTTCTAGAGAGGAGTTTCCCAAGTTATAACTATAGTCTGCAACATGTCGCAGATGGACTACTTTGCACTTTGAAGTGTTGAAGGTAAGTCCGTTGTCGTCTGTCCAACATTGAAGTCGGGTCAGTTCCTCCTGAAGAACTAGTATATCATTATGATTACGTATCTGTCTCCAAAGTTTCACATCATCAGCAAAAAGCAATAAGTCAGATGAAACTTGTTGAGGAAGATCGTTAATAAAAATAAAGAAGAGAAGAGGTCCTAGTATTGAGCCCTGGGGGACCCCACTAGGACATTCCATAGCCTGAGAGAGAGTGAAGTTAACCCTGACCTTAAAATGTCGGTTTTCTAGATATGAAGTTAGCTAGTCAATCAAAGGGGGTCCGATACTCAATCGTCTAAGCTTATTGATAAGACATACATGGTTGACCCTATCAAAAGCTTTCGAGAAATCCAGGTAAATGACATCAACTTTCCCCTTGCGATCAAGGATGATTGTCCATCTATCCACCGCAGTCAGCAGGTTGGTCATACAGGAATGACCTTTACTAAAACCGTGCTGTTGAGGTGAGGAGAACTTTAGGGATAATAAGTAGTCATCGCATATCAGGGACTCCATAATTTTAGAAGGTATAGGGAGAAGGTCCACTGGTCGATAGCTTGAGGGTTCGCTGCGTCGACCTCCTTTGAAAATTGGTGTGATGTGAGCCAGATTCCAAATTTTCATTAGTTCGCCTCGGCTTAGCGAGTGTGAAAACATCTCGCTAAGCAGTATTGCCAGGATTGAAACTGCTTTACTGAGTATAGCAGAATGAACCATATCCGGACCAGGAGAAGTATCTTTTCCTATGTGCTGCAGTTTTCGGAACACCAGGTCAGCGCTCAGGTCCACTTTGGAAAGTCCTGTACAGGTGCAGGTAAATCTTTCATCAGTGTAGTTGATGTGGGTCGGTTGAAATGTCCGAGAGTATTGTTCAGTCAAATGGTCGAACAATTAGGACCTAGCAATTAGGAAACTTCAGTTTCGGTTCGCCGGAGAGAAGATGCGTAACGGAATAAGCCTGGCCTTGTACTGGAGCCTGTCTTCTCTTATTGCCTGTGTACATATACTCCTTATATGTTTGTATTGTCTGTACGCGACGTTGTTATTAGTTCGTTTATATTCAGCCCAACAGTGCTTCTTGCGGCTTAGCAAACGAAGAAAGAGGTTCTTAATGATCATAGGTTGTTTGTAGCTTTTTGGAACCGTTTGAAGGAACTGAATGCTTAGTAGCACATAAAAGCAAGTGCAATAAGAAATCCCAATGAGCACCCACTTCAAGTTGAGGGTGAACATCCCAATCCACCTGTTACAGAAAGTCGTGTGAAGCTGACACATTCAACCTTTTGAAATTCCAGCGCCTGTTATTGGCGGGATATTTAGCTCCGTTTTGCTGACAAAACTGAAGAATAGAACGGCGTGATCACTTTTCCCCAGGGGAGGCAGAATTGAAAGGTCATCGACTAGGAATTCTTCATTTGTGAATACCCAGTCTAAGCACGACGGCGTCTGACTGCTTCTTCAACGAGTTGCGGACTTCAAATTTTCGAATAATCCCAGATCATCAATTAGGTTGAAGAACCGATCTTCAGTGGAGTTTTAACCTCCAGTATAAGTATGTTCTGCGAAGTTGACTCCAGGAAGATTGAAGTACCCTAGAATCAGAATACGAGAGAATTCGGAACGTGTAGAGCGAGTTGATCCTTCCAGCAAACGATAGTCGTACTCGATGTCATCAATGAGCTTCCTGTAGATGACCACAACTAGACACCTCGAGGTGGTAGACAATCTCACTGAGCACCATACTGATTCATCAAGATTGAAAAACTCTTGATTGTGAAGTTGGTGTACCTCCAGGCATGATCGTGTGTTTAATGCTCCCCCCATCCCTGCCTTTCTTTCGTCGCGAAACAAAGACATTCCAGGTACCGCTAGCTCCTGGTCCGTAAACTGAGAAGATATCCAAGTTTCGGATATTCCTATCAGATGAGCATTATTGGCGTTGCTAAGTTCACGTAGCTAATCCATTTTATTTGGCAAACTCGTGGCGTCCATGTATAAGCAGTTTGTGCTTTCAATTTGGAACGCGTGAGCTTCTTCCTGTTTGTCTGTATGAGTCATGCGTCAGTGGACACGTAACCAACCTATACATGGTTTTCTGAGTTGGTAGTACCTGTCCTTTACACGTTTTTTTATGATCAAGATAGTCCACAAGTGCTATTTCAGCTCGAGCTCGCGTTTGTGTTCGATCCTAGTTTCGTGTGGCCTATCCGGATGCATATGGATTCCAGTTGGCACGAAATGCTTCCAGAGTTGCAGCCACCTTATAGGAGGATGAGGTTATATTCGTTAGGCGGGGCCTAGAGTCTCCGTCTTTTCTGGCTAACCTCGTCATCTGTTGGGTCAGTATGTTTTTGAGTTTCACGGAATGCTTGATGAATTAACATTCCCGAATATCAGAGTTTGCTTGAGCCGGGTCCGTATTTTTCGGTACACCTTGCACCTCGTGAGATTCTTTAGGGATGTTCCGGACGAGATTTCACTCAATATGTCAGGCAGTATTTTTGCGTTCCGATCGGATTTCAGTAAGTGACTGACTAGCAGGACGTCCTCTACGTCCGAAGCAATCTTGAGTGTTACACGAAATAGCCTCGAGTGATTTTGATGGTTAGAGTCCTTCCCTTGAGTGAGCCGTGTGACCGTCAAAGGCTCTATTCTGGGGAGTTCAAACTTGTTGTTTGATTACTCCCAAAAAATCTTGTCATTTTTTCCTGCAAAACTGAGGGGAAGTTCAAGGTTGTCTTTCAGGTTCATAATTATAAGAGAGTCGTCACGAACCTTTATTGATTTCCCAGGTTTCCCAGTGCGTCCAGGTTCGGCGCCTTGTTGTTTGAAGGTTGAAGCGCGTTTCCTATTCTTAGGCTCGTTGATGACTGGACGGACATTCTTGGCAGTAGACTGTACGGCCAAGCCACCAGTTGATTGCCGCACAATACTTGGGATGTTCAGCTTAGTTGGTGACGCTTGATCCTATTTAACCCCGTTAACGTGGATCCAACCACCTATAGAGTTTTGATTAACCACTGTTTCATTCAAGGACTCTGCCCTTGGAGACCCAACTTGTTCTTCAGACCTGTCAGCAGGGCAATGACGTTACTCAGCAAAACTACAGTATCTGTGTTGCACATAACAAATACCCATCTAAGATCCGACTCGCTGAGTCTGCTGTAGGTAGTTGCTGTTAGATCTGTGCACTCTTCGTGGAAACAACTATCGCAGTTGTCGCACTGCATGCTAGATGTAACAGCAAGATGGTAACCAGGTCTTTGCACGAATTTTTCATGACTATTGATATAAACTGTCTTATAAATACAAGCAGTAAGTCTAGGACTGTTAAAAGAAACATAGTACACTAAAACGGGCAAAAGTGGGTAAAAACGGGTTACGATAAGCTTGAAACTAGTCTTAACGTGAAAAACTAAAAAAATGATAGTAAGCTGAGGCAAAACCACAGTTAACCACTAAGTTGGATGAAACTCAAAAAAAGTAATCTACCGGACGTATAACTCACAATAAATTTTTCAGATCAGAAATGTTACTTTTGTTGCGTAAGATTCTCACAATCATAAACCAAAATTCATTGTAAAAAGCCCACTTATTCAGATTACATGACATAAAAAAAGGAGACCGAAAAGTCCAAGACTCATGAAGCTAAGTGGCTCGACTATCAATGATCAATTATCACTGGAGACATGAAATTGTGTACAAACAACAAAAAGCGATTGTCGATATATCAATCCGTTTGTACATGTTCGTCAAAAGTATATTGTGAGTAGGATTGAATACTAAACAGCGGAATATGTGTAAACATGCGATGCGCCGCGAAAATGTATTTCCAGTTGCTCAGGTAGTTTGTTTTAAAGTTTCATTGAGCTCATGTAATGAAGTATTGATTAAGCTAGCATTCGTTCTTCACACCGTCTCAGTGTTTTAAATTAATTTTGGTTTCGATTGTATGGTTAAGTATTATAGAAACCCATATACATTCTAACACAACATAAAGAGGAAATAAAAGCTAAAACTTTAGAGAAATACTCAAACAAAATTGTTGGAGAAGAAAAGCTTTGGTGTACATTTAGGCTGCGGACAACTCTTGCGGAAAGTAAACAACTTCAGTAGTGAAGTGTGGGAGATGTTCTCAATATTCCCTTCGTTATGTGTAAAACGAAAACTATTTGGTGCATCATCGCCTACATTTGCACTTACTTTACTTGAGGACTTTCCCAGCATTTTATTTAAGCATTCTTTCTCTTTTTTGTTTGCTTGGGAAGGAGTCAACAATAGGGTACCTACTAGTAACTCATTATGCTTCCCATAGTGTTTCTCCGCTTAAAACATGCCAAAAACCTGCTTTCTAGAGTTGTATCCACCGATTAATTTAGTTTTTCGGTTCTTAGTATACTTAAACCCAATAATTGTGACCTGGTTAGCATATATTTTAGTATTTTTAATGTGTAATATTCACTGCTGTTAGTCTTACTTGGTAATGTAAAATTAAAATGCTGTAAGTGATTCCATCCTGGCTATATTTATCAAGTTATTGTATATGGATAGACAAATCGCTTCCGTTGGAACTGGTACATATATTTTTAAAGTATTTTTTTTGTAGTTTTTACGTTGAACTGCGAAGAAATTACATCTAATAACTTGAGGAACGACTGTATTGGTGTGAATTTCAAATAATTTAGACATGACGTCTAAGGATGAAGTGTACTGCTGGGGTGGTGCTTTCATTGATCTGCCATCGACCCACAAAATTCATATTCTACAATCTATTGTGTTAGATGATGTGTATTCACGTTTGACGTGTAAACGAGGTGTTATTTTGCTTCAAGAAAAGCGTGTCGTGGTGGTCAGCTGTGTTGTGTACCGATATTTTATTTAGGGGCTTAGATCAGTAATTCCGTTTCGTTCTCAATGGTTGGTTCATCACTTGTCACTACACATCATCAACTGATCAACGTTCTACTCACCATTTTAATGATGAAAGCGTGCTCATTACCAACATTTAAAACTTCTTCATAACAAGTCTCATGGGAACGTTTTCTGTCTTTTACTGCAATACACTCTAAAGACTTCGAATTATTGGCTTTACTAATTATCCATCTATAAATGTCTTATTCTCGAATTGATTATTTTCAGTCACTCGAACAATGAATTTTGAAGGAACAACCAGTAAATCTGATCGCCAAACGATCCATAAAAGTGTTTCAGTGAGAAAGCTAAGAACAAAGACAAATGAAAAAAATTTCATGTGGACAAATGTTGCGCTTCATATTATTCTATTTCTTATGGCAATAACAGCTGGTTATTTTCATTGTTTTCATGTTTCAAATTTGCATGAAAATGATCTGTTTTTCTCACATTTATCCAATTTGGAGCGTGAGCTGACATTTAGAACTGAGATGGGATTTTACTACTCTTATTTTAAACAAGTAAAGTTCCTTGTTTGATTACTTAAACGTTATTAAAGTATGTTTTAAAAATCATGTTTCTATTCTTTATTCTGTTACATACTTATGTGGTTTCCTTGTTCTCTCACGATCGGTCACCTGGGGCCATATATATTATGTATCCATGTGATAAATTAGCGAGGTACGGAAATATTGGATAAATCAGCTGTAAAGAATGAAGTCCCGTCTGTTTTACATGATTCTTGTGACTTGCCTGTGTAATCTGTGATACTTCCCCATCTGAAGTTTGTAACAATACAATTATCAGTATGATAATGTGCCAGTCCATAAACTCTCTGACTGTTGGACTGCACTATATCGGGATCTGTAGAATTACTGTTTAAGTTCCACGAGATGATCTTCGTCAATGCTCACAAATCCTAGTTAATATAGCTGAGTATTGCTACATTACTACATTTTGTTCTATCTTCCTCTAAATCTTTAGTTTTAATGTTACTCCACATTGTTTATTCCTTTTTTCAGCTGCTTATATTAAATCATATTCTGTGCTTAACTTTTACCATAACTGATATTATTTAGACCTTCTCCACTAATTTCCTTCAATAATATTCTATAAAGAGTAACAACTTTAACTCACGTACGTTATTTATTACTTACCATTGAAATCTTGCCCCAAAATGTAGTTTACTTGACTTGTATTCCCTTCCACAAATGCTTCACACTTTACTCACTAGTGGCTAGCTTCCAGGAGTAATTCTCGGGGTTCTGGTGAGAAGCCTTGACCAATGGAGTTCAACCGTGTCGAGTGTGAGACAGTTTCCTACCGATGACAATAGAATATGGTCGCGCAATATCGTAGATTAGTTGAAGCTAGACATTAACACTATTAGATGCCGGCTCAATGGTCTAGAAGTTAGGCGTTCACTCGCGAGACCGAGGGTCCTGGGTTCAAGTCTCGCATGCTGGATCGTAGATGAACACTTCTGAGGTGTTGCACACCAGGAAAAAACGGCCGTCCAGTGCTAGGTTTTTAATGGTGGTCTAACATCGATCGTTTCATGATTTCGGTTAGAAAACTCAACATTTTCCACAACCCTATACTGACTTTTACGTGTGTTTGAAATGTGCCTTCTTTTACAGTTTTCTGCACATAATTCTTTAGCAAAATTTTTATTAAAACATATTTACAGACAGGAATGAAAAATAAGGTCAACCAACTCATCAGGCACTTGGGTATGCGTTACACCTTAAATTTATAGGCTGATAATAGTACCCGGTTTCCCTAACCAAAGTGGGACAGATGGGGCTCTGTGCAGACTAAAGTTACACATCATTAAAGGTTTTGAAATATCAGCTTTGCCTCGTAATGTTTTAGTTGTGTAGGTTTAGCTTCCAATAGATACAGCTAGTAATATCAGTAATTGATAAAGTTGATGGAATTATCCCTTCAACTAGAGTTTTTATTTGCGGCTTTCCACATTTCCACACCTATCTATATCGTCAGAAATAGTACATTCGGTCTTATCTGATTAATTTCCTATTTGGTAAGGCTTGCCTGTTTAATCCAAAATAGTTATTAAAACAATGAAAAAGCTGGATTAGAATATTACTTGACTGTAAATAATTATTTTCAAACTATTTGATGTTATACATGTAGTACGTTTCGCTAAAATTGCAATTCATGACTCATACAAGCTGTACGTTCTTGTTCAAAAGGTGTTACATCAAGTAAATTACTTGTTTTATACTTATTTTTAATTTACTACGTCAAATTGCTTGAATTTTAATGTATGGACCATTGGATCGCAACTATATGCTTTTTGGCTTCTGACTCAAAGAGATTAGAGTGTCCTGGGTTCCATCTTGTATGTTATCGTGGAATTATGCTGTTAATAAGTTCGAAACGAGGATGAAACAGTTTCTTTTCGCTTTCAGCAGTTCTCTAATTGACACCGATTTGGGATTTTAATTGTTTAAATCAGCCTAGTTTATAAAAGTTACCTTATATCAAAACAATGCAAGTCATAAACTCATGAGCACGGAGTTTTGATGTTATTTCCTTTGCAAATTATAATTACTCGTTGACCAGTTTAATTTTTCAAATAACCTTTTGTCTAGATCGTTTTAGCATCAACTTTTGTGGAAGGATTCAACTCATTGCTTACTGATACTAGAACTGAATATCCGCCTTGCTTAAGTCTAGTGAATGACACAGGTGATTTCAACTACTTTCATTTTTCACACTTAATGATAGATATTCGGAAGAATAACCAATGTGTAAATTTGAATGCTATCGAACGATTTAATCTGTATCCTGAATTGTTGCTAGCTGGTGCTTACAGATTCTTACACACATTTGATTTCATCAGACATTACTGTTTTCAAGTTAAAAGAGAACCACCGATCGATCCAATTGCGATTGCTATAAATCCAAATATAATGGCGAATTTATCACAGCTTAGAAAGTGGGTATATGTAGTTTTGATGCATGCAATATTATTATTATTATTATTATTATTATTATTATTATTATTATTATTATTATGGTCAAATAATGTTGTTTTAGTTCTAAAAATATATATTTACTGTTGCTGAAATGAAAGGTGAAATCTAAAATAAACAATTGCCAAATGGCTGTGTAATATTCGGCTTTTGTACAATTTGAAATTGATATCATCTAGTTGATTTAATTCAGAATCTATGGATTTATTCTTTTAACAGGATAAATATTGAGAAAACTGTAACTTGTGAAGATATCTTATGAAGAATTATTGTTCATATTTTTCTATTTTATAATTCGTAGACATTTTTATTATTGTATACTTATATTTACCTAAGTGTAATCTTTCATTTGGAGCACAAACTATTATTGTATGTTTGGCGTTATTGTTAATCAGTCACGGACTTATCACTTAGTTTCTCTTTTACTGATTGCGTACTTATGTGGATATTGTCATTTCTTATTTATATTGTCATACATTCAGGAAATTACTCCATATCATTGTGTAAGATGACACATTTAACTGAACGGTTACACAGTAAAGACTTTATCTGCTAGTCAAGTTCATATTTTGGTTAGATCCTGGTTTGTAAGTAGCTCGAGGACCGACGGAAGTTAAAGTACCTGTTGTTCTTCATTGATCACCACGTTATTGGCAAAATGTGAGGTCATCAGTCCTATAGGCATAGAACGAATAAGTCAGTAATTGAATTAAAATGTATTGCTTCAATACAATACAATACAGGAATTTGTTGTTTTTTGGAAATATGACATCTGTATAATTAATTCACTCTATATATTAACTGTCAACGGTAAATGAGTAATGTGACCCATTTCTTAAATTTGGCCAATATATCACTTTCATGAGCTGTCATGTTGAGAGCAAATATTCATTGACCGTTAGGTATACGTTTCTCTCTCAGGGGGGAAATTTAGTTATTTAATATACTTCATTTGAAATCCACATAAGTTTACAACTCTTTACTGCCCCATCTTTCAGTGTTAAACTATTGAGATGAAGAAAATTGAATTCAAATTGGTTCAGTCAATCATAAATGATGACAGTCTCTAAACTTTGAACAAAGTAAGTGCTAGAAGACTGAATTGACTAAATTTATGGTTGACAAAACTGATTTGAATGGACAGGTCCCTAGATAATATCATCGTCTACAAACTAGTTATCGAATGGGAATTAGGAATTAGGAAAAACATCAAAAATCAACTACCAATTCTTGTTCACTATGCTCAACACTAAATTTTTTAACGATTGTAAGTAATCTCTTTCAGTGATGTCTTGTTTCGAAGCTTAAATTTTTGGCAGGGGATAATTCGGAGTTTCTGAACCTCATCTTTGTGTTTGCAAACATTTATCGAACGGCAGATTTTAAATTGGCATCATGAATTTCAGACATGATGGAAAATATGTTTAGATGTCTTTTGCCAAGGATGGAATTTTAGTTTGTTGCTTTTGCTAAGTTCATACGTTATAAACTACAGTACTGAAGTTGTATTAGATTTTGATCAATATATTGGAAAATTCACATAGATCAGTACTCATTTTATAAATTCTTGGCAGCGGTACGCGTTTTTGATGGGAATCCGTCTTATCGATTACTCGGTTGTAATTTTCGGATTAGTCAGTGTTTAGCACGTCACAAACACACGGGTGCTCAGCATTTATGTGTATGGGTGTGCCATGAGAGGTATAGGTCGGTTTGACTTGTGTCTTCCAGGTGTAAATCTAATGTATATTTCAACAAAAAACTGTCACGGGAGTAACATCTATACTTATTAATGTGCTTCGTAGCTTATAGGTCCTTGACTTGTATATTTCATTTGTGCATGAGATGCATAATTGCTAGAAATAAAGAGCTGGGAAACCACCTTACTATTGGCAATAGCCAACTAATATCAAGGTCGACAGGAGAACCTATTAGTTGCATGTAAACACGTTCAAATACTTCACTTTTACTTGAAAGGGAAGTTACTTGGAAAATATACTCAAGAAAATGGCATCTAATAACTTATTACAACCACAACAAACCTTTGAAGTTGTTATCTTGCAATAAAATAAAGAAACAAATTGATCCTGACTGCTATTATTTTGATTTGGTGTATATTCTATTTACACCTATATGATCCTCTTTTACTAAATGAAATAAAATCATCACTTTTGAAGTAATGTTTCACAATAAGTGTTTTAGAGATGGAGAGAGAGAAAGGTTTTGACTAGTAGCGAATATGTGTGTGTTTAGCCAAGGTTACATATGGCGATACACCAACTGTGGTGAGAAAAACTCCTATTTCATTGAAATCACGATCCGATATAAGTTATACTACCGTTAAAAACCTGGAAGTACTGGACTGCCTCTTTCTTGTATGATACTCGATTCTTTGTCCATCTAACACTTTCTGAAAGATGGAAGATAATTAATTATGTTTGGTTTTAACATTTGGTAATTTGGATACTGGTCATATTTGAGTGGATAGTTGATGCGGTTCCGATTAATCTATGGACGACATTTTTTTCACTGTTAGTTAACAAAGATTGCTTCTCGATTGGTTAAACTAAAGTTGTTTTGTTAGTTTAAATGTAGAAGAATGTGGGTTAAATGTAAATACTACTAATGCATAGCTGTAGTTTCATGCTTATATATTATAGTAGTTGGTATAAATATAATTTTTCTGCCTTCATGGGCATTACTCTCCTTCAATTTTTATGTAACAAAACATTTGATATTACAGTATCTCCTTGTTTTTATTGTTAAGGCTAGATGTAATACCGTCAAATCAATTGAAGATCAGCAGTAACTCGATAATAAGTTGTGATGGATCTGGTGAACCACCATATTTCTATGCGAATTCAGTATTCATTTTGTCAGGTCTGGTACTTTTCGGTTTAACTTACTCTGGTTGGTTTGTTGCTAAGATTGGGAGTTTAAATCAATCTAAAACGGATCATATATTACAGCTTATTGGTGGATTTCTTCCAATTCTAGCATATTTCTCTAATCATAGAGAAGCTACACGTGTTCAGTGGACTCCACCGTTGAGAGAACACTTCGCTTATCCATTCTTCATACTTCAACAGTCATTTTTATTAGGCTATCTTGGATCAAATCAAATGGTAAATAAATTTTGTTTTCCTTATATTTTTAATATGTAGTTATGTAATTGTAATGCCTATTTTATTAGGCATCTACATAAGCCATCTACATATATCTTTTGTTAATGCGCTACTGTTGCGCATCTCAACTTACCGGATGAAAAAGTAAAAAAAAGCTGAAAGTTTAAGCTTAAAATGAAATTCCTAATGAAAACTATGCACTTATATGCAGCATTCACTTGATGAGCATAAAAATGCTGGATATTAAACATTGAATAGCAAATGCACTACAAATTAATGTACATAGGTCATTATCCTGGCTCCTAGACACCTAGCGCGGGGAATTACGGCGGGCTAAGACAGATATTCATGCTCGTTGTTTTCCTTCGCTCTATTTATTTGGTAGACTTAAGTTTCTGGTACTTCTTTCCAAGACCATATGCTTACCCTTTTGGTACTTCACTCACTGTATGAGTAAATAGTAAACATAATCTATTTGTCCGTTCATTTCTAACCAATAAACAAAATTCCGGACAGTGCATTTTATTCGATAAATACCTGACTTGTATTTCTGACGTTTTGTCACTTAATGTAAGTCACTTTTTCAGATTAATGGCTTACACTAAATCACGAAACGTCAGAAATACAATTGTTCTACTCACTGGGATGTAACAAAAAATATATTTATTATTAACTCTTTGCCCAATGCTCAATTTATTTGAAACTATCAAGTCCAACCTTGGTATGAATACCTATAAATACCAGACTGCCCAATATACAACTGACGAAAAATATTAACGTATCACAATCTATTCTTCGGAGATTTGGTAATCACTTAAAATACAAAGATAGTCTCATCGATGGAAAAGTTATCGAAGTTCAGTATCCGAATGTTTTATTCATTTGCCAGTGACAAAGGTTGTCACTTTCTGAATTATTAAATCGCTGCTGTGTTGATCTCAAGCATTAGTGGTAGGAATTGGATTTCGATTTACAAATAACCTGGGAATAACTTCTTTTTTCAGTAGTGTTAATTTAGCTTTGATGACTCATCTTCGTAGGTGGAATCTTCATTGTTTCGGTGCTGAATCTTGGGATTACAGTCAAATAGAATACATTATGATCCTTCCAAATGGTTTACTGGTATACTGTTCATGAAGTTGAACACAATAAGCTACACTTAATGAACTGTCAGCCATATGAATTTCTGTTCATAAATGAGCTTATGGAATCTCTGAATATCAAAAGTCAAGTTTGTTGCCTACTTCACTCTTTGATTGTATTCCCCTTTCTGGTAACAAAAATGCATCCATTATAGCCTTTTCTTTTCTGTAAAAAAATATAATGGGATATAACTGTACCTGCTCTGTAGCTTCAGAGATTACTGTTTGTCATCAAAAGCATAAATTATTCATCTTTACTGAGTAGTGGGGTAAAATACACTGACAATAGAAAAGTTGACTAGTAGATGACAGGTCTCGTAAATTATTCGAAGCAGTAGTACATCATTTGGCACTCTTAACCGTTTGATAGTACATGCATTCTAGGGATAATTTCTTAATTATTCAGTCGTTCTACTTGTTCTTCATTCTTTATATACATGAAATTCTATGCAAGTTAGTGTTTGTCACTTAAAAAAAAAGATGTATACTTGTTCACTTTGAATATACATAGAACTACTTAGATTGTTTAATGTACTTCTATTGCCCTAAACAACTCTATCATTATTTTTTCTTACTTTTAGTTACAATCGTATCGAGGGAAAAGTTTTATTTCTTTAACAGTATTCTGTGTATTGCTATTGATTTGTCAAATTTCATGGCAATTTTCCCAATTCGCTTTACTTACTCAAATTATATCGATTATTTGTGCCTTTTGTTTATCACTATCATCAAATACCCATTTATCTCCTAGTTCAAATCGACAGAAATTAGTTATTCTAAGCCTTTTATTCAAAATAAAACAAATCATATGGATTCATTTAATTGTATTCAATTTGTCATTTATATTACAATTTGGCAATCGTTTACTTCTACAATCTGGTTATTTGTTTATCCTACTAAGTAGTTTATTAAGTGTATACATACTCCAAAAACTAATAAATAGTAAGTGATTTGTTCTTTCTTTTTTCATTTGTTTAAAGCGATTGAATAAATTATTTAAATCATTCAAATGTGACGGGAATTATATGTTTGCCAATGTTGTTTCCTATTAGTTTATTTGTTAAAGCTTAAATGTAGTAGTGTTTCGACGTCAGATCTAAGATTACAATGATAGAGCTTGAGTAATAATAAACAGTATAAAATGTAGTATAATCATTTTAGTTAACTGAATAACTTCCTTAAACTCTTTCTTAGAGTTTTATGTTGATGGATTCGAATTAACAATCTCGTATTGAAGTTGAACAATAGTCATGCCTATATTAAACCTATGAGAATGAGAATTGTAAAAGTAGGAGTATTCTATTCAAATATATAGTAATTCACTTAATCAGTCAATGTAATTCACACTATCAGCATTGTTATGTCCGTCAAATATCACGTGACGAGACCTCTAATCAGAATACTGATCTCTATGACCCTGTCCTCTGTTAAACCAATGACACACCAACCGGCACCAGCAGTCTTTAATCAACTATCACTCCTTATTGGTTCTTGATATAGCAGCTTCTCGTCTAGCCCTGTTCGCTCAGTTCAGAACACATAATAATAATATATTTCAGACATGTAGTTTATATACAAGCAAACCAGACCACATCACACCACTAAAAAAATAACGGTTATACAAGATCAGGTCAAAAATGCCTGTGAGTATGGGAGGCTGTAACTAATAGATCGGGAATAAATCATGAACAGTAAGTCGTATAACAGCAGTCAATGGGTCAAGTGAAAACTTGTGATAAAAGGAGTATAAATAGACGTGACCTAGTCACTTAATAATTATAGGATAGGAATATATATAATAAATAATAGTCTATAAATAATCCCTGGAAGTTGCCACTCATTTATTCTTCGTTCGGACGTAAAAAAATTCTTTCTGATTACTTCGAATTTAAGTTCTTGCTTTTGTCTTTTCGAAGTTCTAAACTTTTTGGGATTAGTAGTATTTTGTCAGTTCATTTCAAATTCACATCTGGCTTCCTCAGTGTCGATGTTCATATCGGGGTATCCGGTTGATGAGTCCCTAAAAGGACGAAACGAGCGTTCTGGTTCCCACTATAAGCTACTCTCCAACCCTTCTTTAAATGCTTGTGACTTAATGGCGGAATCAAAGCAATCCGCAGAGGATATATATACTAAGAAAGCAACCGATCAATTTCCATCTTGAGTACTAATAACGAGAAGAAGGTTCAATACAACCCGGTTAAAATAAGTTTATAACAAAATAATGATATTTTGCATTGGTTTTATATTTAATGAAGACTTTCCTTTGTTCCATTTCCTTTCTCAGCTTATGATCCAATGATAATTAAAAAGAAAGAAGTATCTACTCGATCATCAATAATGAATATTACATTTATACGTTTTCTATGCTTACCTTTATTAATTGTCTGTCTATGTACAATCGGATTAAGTTTACTGTTCTCAGTTTTTTCAAAATATGCTTTCAATCATAATGATGACTTAAACAGTAACCATAATAATAACAATGATGGTGGTCATATATGGGATTTATTAAAGCATAAATTAACCATATTTTTTGGTATTACAATTTATAAAACATTTCATACAATGTTGTATATATGTGCACCAGAGTTTGATTTTATCAATGTAAGTAATGTAATCCCTCTTCCTCTTTCTGGCACATACATATAGTTCATGAATCAATATATGTTTCTAAATGGGATAAAACACTTTGGCCATTTTCTATAAAGTGTTTTTTTGTCGCAAAATATGTTCATTTTCACTTAAAACGTCAACTGAAGAATTAGTTTGCTATTTTTAAAACAAACATTGAACTGTTCAGCCTAGATTTGAAATGATAACGGAAGTACGTAGCTCAGATGGATATATTTCCTGATGCCTACATCCTATGGTTTAATCTGTATTATCATTCTGTACATCATCATCAGCATTGAACTACTCAGTTCAAATATAACAACATTCGCACTGTTTTGGTATGGCGGGAGAATAAAATCCTCAATGGAAAGTACCTTCTGCAACAAATACATAAAGACAAATTACAATATACAATTGCTTAACTGAACTTCACTAGCCATGTCGAAAGTCAACTCTGACTTTCATTAACAGTCGGGAACTCAAAACACAAAAATATGGAAGCTGTTGCATTTTAACAAAGATTTAAAGAATGCATGTAGACTGAGAGCAACTTTCATAAGTGTTGAGCGAATGTAATTACAGTAATAAATGAAATGAATGTTACTCGTTTATGTAAAATAATTAGACTAACACGTAATCTACACGCCGGGTGCGCCAAAATTATTAGAATTAACACTAGCTACTGAATATTATTAAGTAGTATAGGGTAATACACAGACTTGGATAAGAATAGGGTAAAAATGGAATCTTAGTGATCTTAACATATATTTATCATACTATTATCATGACTTTCCATTCTTCAGTCACATCGATTTACTCTGTTAATTTTTTCATCTACTAGTGGGCCACTTTAAAACAACCTCTTGAAACTGGTCTTATTTACGGTTCCATTCTAGTCTGTTTCATCGTTTCTTTCAAATTATTCAAGAACTTGTTCAGTTATCATCATCATCTTTCAGTAACTGTAAATAACCATTTGTTTAACAATAATAATTTGTCAAGCTGTGAATATTCATTTAAAATACTGCGGGATTTTATTTCACTATTAGTTATCATTCAAGTAAGTGAACCGATGTGAGAATGTGTAAATCTTCACATTATTTTTTATGATTTTATACTTATTTGATGGATTATTTCGGGATAATTATGTAATAATTAATGTTGAATACAAAATGCAATTCAGAAAAGACGTTACATATGTTACAATTATTTTATTTGTAATTTATATTTTCCCGAGTACATTCGACTGGTGAATCAATCCCCATTGTGACGAAATGTACATTATAGATTCCACTGTTTACGACTAATCGACTTCGATATAAATTCTATTGCATTTGTCTTTTCTGTCTGTTAAGATCAGCATATAAGATGAGTTGTATCATTCAATCAGCAAAATGAACGTTCATAATTGTTATTTTCTGTTTACTGATATATATATATATATATATATATATATTGGTCAGACCGCTATGTACCTTGAATATGAAATCATATTTTACATTCAATCATGCTGTAAGTGGGACAAAACAAATAAAACATACATAATTACTTAACAATAATTAAGGAATAATAAAATGTATAACAGTGGTTGGTAGATCCATTTGTAGCTTGCATTGCAAGGAGTATAGCAGTCTAATGATCTAACAGCTGTATGATAAAAATATGAACAATATTAGTCCTTAAAACAGTTCCAAAAGTTCCAACTCCACTGCTCGCTTCGCTACAATAACTTAGAAATGAAGTAATATACATATGCAGCCCACTGCTAGTCGCACATTCCGGCTGTTCTATAAAATGAAAATGTATTTATCGAGGCGATTTGCATAGGATGAACGCTTGTCAAAAGATTCTGATAGAAATTCAATCTTGATTACCAACAACGAGACAATTGAAATCCTTACTAATATTGATGTAAATGTCATTCTCGTATAACCGAATTGTTATCTAGTCTCAGTAGCTCCCAGGCCCCCAAATGCCCTGATACGGCCGAGAGTGAGGAGAGTCACCTCTCCCTCTCGAAATGCTCTCATATGGCCAGCGAATATATAGCCTCTGCCAGGGAAGTCCTACTCATTGCCTTCTCGTGTCGGGGGTGTTGTTTACGAAAGTGAGAGGACGAAAAGCGAATGTCCGGCGCTTTAACCGGGTTGGTGGATGTGGAAAGTTCACCTAGAGGAGTTGGAAAACCCTGATTCCAAACCAGTGGTGCACATGGGCTCCAGTTTCCTGAGGGAACAAATGGCGTACGAATCAACCGTTGATCACCGTCTACCATGGGACTGCATCTCCTCACGATGCTCCACTGCCTTGTGGATCAGACATTCAGGTCAAAGGCTCCGGGTGTGGCCTTCTAAGAAAACCACCTGCTTCAGTCTGGGCAGTATCACAGCCCTCACACAAATCGAATGAGATTTGTGAGGCGCATATTTATCTGGTGCTTCTTTGTACCAATATTTATGTGTTTTAAATAAATAAATAAAAATAAACTCAGTAGCTCCTGCAGATAATGTATCGAGGTTTAGTTCGAAGGGTACTAAGTGTGAGTAGCAATGTCAACACCACACTGGAATATAGGTTCATTCATCTAACGAGTCACAAACAGGACGAGACGCACTTTTTAAATTCCGTAGCTAGTTACAAACCATCTATGCTATAAACCAATGTTACCGAGAAGCTTCTCCAATTTCCTCGTTTCTAGGACTTTCTGAAGGTTTTGTGGAACTGAAGTTTTCGGCTTTGCGGAATTCACACTTTCCAATTAACTTCATAATCAAAACCACATTATATGATTGTCATTTGTTCAAAAGCATTCCTTTCCAACTTATTTTCAATTTCTGATTGCTGGGACAGAAACTAAACTAGTATTGGTACAATTTGATGTACGTACGTACGAATTTCTACGTTGTGACTGACTGACTGATTGGTACAATTTCTAAACGTATATTATTATACCTAATCTATTTTTCGGAAGCAGTATATCACAGTAACTATCTACCTAAATTGTATATCGTGTCATATGACTTATTTGAAATAAAACTTTAGTTCTTATTCTTAAATTATCTTTTAAAAATTACTTGAATTTACGACCATATAGTTGGCGATTTTCACAATTATGGCTGTGTTAATTATGAGACTGAAACTGTTCTGGACACCTCAAATGTGTTTATCACTCGCTATATTAGCTCAGTCTACACGATGGTTTGAAATGTTTCATGCATTGAAAAGCCTTGGTGGCCGTATGTTTTGTTCATCATCATTGAATAGCCCCCGTGATCCTGAAAAAATGACAAGACGTCTATTTTGGTTTCATCGTGTTATTTATGCAACAATACTAGTATTGTTCATAGCTTTTATGGCTGGACGTGGTTTGGAGAATTTGAAAGTTAGTTGTAACTTTTGCTGTCGATTTTTGAGTTTCAATGCCATTACATTATGTTAACACCATAAGTTGTTTTTAACCATATGGTTTTTTGATATCATGTAATCAAAATAAAGTAAGAGCTGGTATAAATATGGACCCAGAGAAGTTATCAAACTAGATCAGTACAAGATGATCTATAGCAAAATATTCGGAGTAAAGCCCTGTGATAATGAAATCAATGAGCGTCTGCAATATGGCTCAAAAATGAATGATTTTGTGGAATAAATATTGTGAAGCAATATTGTAACTCTGGGGGGAGACAAAGGATAGATGAATATGGGCCACTGTGACCGTTTTGTAGCAATATCACCCAACGTCAACCATTGGTCGTAATAATCTCACAGATAAACTCCGATCAAGATCTCTGAATCTTCCCACATGATTCAGTCAAACAGTCAATAACTTCATGGAATATTGTTTGATGCTCTACATTGTCGTCTGCTTAACCTCCACTCTTAGTCTAGTTACATTCACAAGTACAGAAATTAGTTTGTAAAAATCTCTTGGTGTTATTCGTGACTTTCGTTATGAACAAATGTTTTAATAGTCACTTGAACCTCTAATTATTACTAGACAGTTCAATTACTTATTATCACCAGATATTTGTCAATTTATTGCTGTGTATGACCAAATTATTTCTGTATATGATTTGTTGATCTTCATCTAAATAGGTTGTTAAACTACTAAGCATAAAAGAAATCATGGAACTTCATGGTTCAGTAATTGTTTGTTACGTCTTTTCTCGTCTATAAACGTTTATCCTAATACAAAGTTTAATAGTTAGTAGTGGCTGACACCATAGACTTCACATACTCGGCTATTACCAGCTAGTATAGTTAGTTTGTTAGTTAGTCTGAATATTCTTTGTTTCAGTAAAAATTTATTGCAAAACTGAAAGTTGGAGCCAGAAACAATATAACTGTTAGCTTTTAATACACCATTTGTTAACTGGTAATGATCACTTAATTTTGGATATGGCAAAAAAAGAAAAAGTCAGACATCTACAAAATAAACTTTCAACTGTGAGAAGCACTCCATGGGAGTGATCTTCCTCGTCGTTCGCACGAGCACTAATGCTATGATGCATCTTTGATTAAATCAATGCACATTAACAATTGTAGGCACATGTACTTGAAAAATGCTAAAATCTTGGGGTACAAAGAATATTAGAGAATATTTCGAAGCTTGGCGCTCAGGTCAGTCAATGTATAAACACATTGAAATCGACTCAGTTTGTCAACTGATCAGAAAAATCGTAGGCAACTACAGAATCGAGAATTGGGTCAAAGGGGAAAGACAGCGGCAGGTTAAAGGTTGACAGGACAAGCTTTCGGTCTTTTGTGAAGGAATTCAACTACCTCGCTTCTACCTAAAGTTTGAGCTGATGTTGTTGTACAAAAAACAATGAAAGTTTCACGATTAAGCCATCCATTCCAAAAGACTAAACTTCACCAAATAGGCTTATATACAAAATAATTCATAAACTCACTAAGCATATTCATTTTTGTGATTGATATTTTGTACTTAACTTACGAATTTACTTAAAGTGTGTCATATGAACAAGAAGCTTATCATTAAATACAAACATTGTATAGTCGATTATATTCTCCTCTGAAAAAGTTCAAACCAGACTGATGAACAAAACGTTGGAATCCTCTCAATTCTAATCTCTAAGATTATTCTAATACAATTTCTGCATTTAATATCTTCTGTATACTCGACACCAAATCTCCAGCAAATGTTCACAGAAAGCATCTTATCATCCGGTATTTTTCGTAATTTCCTAGAGTTAAGTGATTAAAACTAGTCACATTTTTACTTGATTATATTAGTATTAATAGGTCATCTTTTAACAAGTAAACCAATTTATGAGCCTCATTTTATTTCAAGAAGAAAGTGTACTGACATAGTTTTGACAGGAAATGTCCAACAGTTAACTAAATCTCTGATCAACAAGACAAGTTGTTAGTTGTGAAAAATTTCTAGTAGCTCACTTGTTTTCGAAGTGTATCTTGATGATGTTGTCTAGAAATACTATCAAAAGCTGCACAATTAAACTGTTCAGCTCAAAGAACACAATCCTCCTATAATTGTCATCCTAAATTACAAGTATTTCTGATCATTTTGAAAAATACTTTTAATTTAGTTCAGAGGGAGTTTTGTGGAGAATTTAGTATTTTCATAGTTGAAATCATGGGTCAATTGAAGCTAGACCACCATCGAAAACCTGGGGGCACTGGACGGCCGTTTCGTCCTATTGTGGGACTCCTCAGCAGTGCACATCCACGATCCCGCACTCGTGAACGGTCGCTCAAAATGGTGGATTGGTCGAAGTTAGACATTAACACCGTTGGGTGCCGGCTCAGTGGTCTGTCGGTTAAGGGCTCCGGCTCGAGACTGGTAGGTCCGGGGTTCGAATCTCGCTAGTGTGGGGTCGTGGGTGCGCACTGCTGAGGAGTCCCACAATAGGACGAAACGGCCGTCCAGTGCTTTCAGGTTTTCGATGGTGGTCTAGCTTCAATTGACCCATGATTTTAATTTAGTGTTCAAACCGATGTTATCATTCTCAAACAATAAGTTTTCTGACTTTTTGTTATTTCTGTTAAAATGGTTTTCCAAGTTCATGATATTGATAAATATTCCTATTGCTCAAGAAAAATATTACATTCTTACGTAATCTTTTATTCCAATTCTTGTTAGTCTGAATGGAGTATACAGGGTTCATTCAGTGCTTATGAAAGTGAAATATTAATTAATTGGTTTCGAAGTTTACCTCAAAAACGTGAAGGTTCCTCCTTATCATGGATTATATCTGGACCAATGTCTTTGTTAGGCAATCTACGTTTAACATTACCAGCTTCTGCTCCTTATCCATCTACACAAATTGTTTCATTGAATGAGTCTGGATTTGCTTTTACAAATCATCCACATTATGAGAATACAATACTTCGTTATAGAACTGTTTTAGCTTATGGGATTTATAGTCGTAAACCCGTTCATGATGTATGGCATACATATCGTCATATTTTAAAAGTAAATCTTACCATTCATATATATTTATATTTACAGAAAATATGTACTGTTTTTTTATCTACATTATTTATTTATTTAATCACATACATATTCGTACAAAGGGCACCGGATACATATGCGCCACACAAAATAATGAGAATAGGAGGAGAAAGGAGGAAGATGCGTATATATGAAAGAAGGAAAAAAAAGAAGAGTAATTATGGGGGGAACTGAAATGTACAACCAGAAGAACTCTCTCATTTAAGAAAGTTATAACCACTCTTTATGAAGAAAGTAAAAGAAGTTTACAGCAGGCTCACCACTGGCTTCTATTCTGGGCCATATCTGATAACGTCTCTAGCCACTGTGTTGCACCATCTCTCGGACCCCAGACAGGGAGTCGTCAAGGTCCAACAGAAGCTAGCCCTTTGCAGCTTTCTTTCATACCACGACACCATGTCATACACTGACCACCTCTCCGCTTTTTCCAATCAGTCCTAGAGTCGGCAAATAATGCACAGTAAAACAATATCATCCGCATACTCAAGGTCCAGAAGTCGTTCTCCAGGCAGTAGATCCACACCGCCATCACTTACATCCATCAGAGCTGTCCCCAGGATGTCGTCGATGGCAAAGTTGAAGAGGAATGGTGAAAACTGAATGCTGAAAACTTTTAGTTAATTCTCACTGTAATATACTTAAAAGCAAAGAATATTTAAGCGAGCAGTTTTTAATTTTAAGATACTTTACTACTTTGAAATCATATAATTAAGGTTTACTTGCAAAAATCAAATGCATTACGCAATCTGTCAACGTGCCACAAGTTTCTAAATAGGAACAATAGATCCGAGTTAATTCTAGACATGAAAGTATTTTGTAACGCTAAACTATATCAAACAATTTATTCACATCTTCCTTCACGTAAGACATTTATCATTCCGAAACGCTTATTACATCATGGCGTATTTTTGTTTTGCATACGAGATCGATAACTATCACGATGGGTATTCTGAAATAATGACATACTCCAAATAATAGATTATTACTATCATTACCAGTGACTTTATTTAATGTCATATGTTTAATACAATATGGAAGTATTCCAACAAGTCCCTCTCATAAAAAAATGAAAAAGCGACGATAATAGATAATCGCAAGCACATATACATGGAATAAGTCAGTATATTATCTAGAATTAAATGAAATGTTTTTTTTAATAAGAATCTATACAACTTTAGATTAGCAAGATCTCCAAGAATACAAGTTCTTGACTAGCTGATCACCTTTCATAACCTGTTTGTCGCGTATTATATATGCTAGATACTAAAGGTGTTATAGAAATTTTATATTTTTGTTTGCATACATGGATTCTAATGTATCAGCATTTCGTTCGACTAGAAGATTTAAAAGGAGATGGCTAGTATCTGATAACACTTACCAGGAGTTTGCAAGACTTTAAATGTCTATCCGCAACCATATTCATTATAACCTTACCAAATGCCTTCAGCACTGTTTGCAACACTGAAAGAATCTTAGCAATATCCAACAGTTTATAAATCGTAAAAGCAAATGCCGAGTAATGTCAAAAGCATGTAACCTTTTTATGTAATAAATCGAACGGAAAACTACCCTCGATTCCAATATGAAATCAGTAGAAATCAGAGAAAAAAATCACATCATGATAACCGACCTGGTTTTATTATATAATCTTCAATAATACAAACTTCATGGGGTTCGAGTAAGGTGCATAAGTGCTGTTCAGGCCTCAGGCTAAAATGAACAGTTTGACACTTACAAGGACTAAATGTGAGACTGTCAACAATAAAACACCATGCAATTAACTGCTGGATATTATTGAACAGCATAATATACTACGCAAAATTATCGAATAGGAAACAAAAAGAAGAGGCATAAGTAGCAATCTTAAACATACATATAATATATATTTTAAATAGGAATAATATATTTTTAAAATCTCAGCGAGTATCAGTATCAACTCCCGAACATCGCAAATCACAACACTTCTGAATTCTGTTGCTTAGATCATCTACTTTTATTTGTTTGTTAATTGAAGATTTTCAACTGATTTTTTTTCAGACTGATTTTGTAATAGTGGAAACTCATACATGTCCGTCTAGAGGTGGATGTAGTAAACCGGAACTTTTTGATCTACTCGATACAAATCTTGCTGGACGCCCAGCACTATGTGAATCACTAATGAATATACAAGTTTTAAAAGCTGGTAGAACTCCGAGTACTTTGGAACCATATTTTACAGTTGTTTATGTTGAGCTGTACACAGGTAGAGTTGTACTATATGTGAATAAATTGACGTAATATATAAAAGAAGCCAGTAGGCTGCTTACAGCTTTAAAGATTATGTACAGTGTCGCCGTAAATGCAGGTTACCCAGATGTTTAATCATTTGTGATTACAATGTAAATCTCTTTGTAAACCGAAACTACTATTCATTTCATTTTCAAAATGTTATTAAATCTAATACTATCAAATGTTCTGCACAGCATTTAAATAAAAGTTATTTGATTGTTGCTAAAAAAACTGTATTTTTATTTCTCTGTAAAATAAGGTCAAACCTCTCCCTGAACCAATTGAATAATTCAAAAAAAAGCGGGTTGAAGTATTAAAAAAAAAGAAATTCAAAACAATTTTAACTAAGAAAGTCTAGTCTGTACAATGTGGAGGAGCATTGACAATGCTTCAGTCTTCATCTTCTTCAGATAAACATACACGTTCTACTACACGACGTTGAGGTTTAATCTGAGCTTTCTCCTTGCGTTTTTTCTCCGGCAAAGTCTTCGTTTCATTCGGAGGTTTTTTCACAGATTGCCTGCGTCGAGGCTGACGTAGTTTAGGTAATTCAGAAAGTAGGCTATTTTCATCTTTCACTGGTGTTGTATGCTGTGAAGAGTTGGGAGCTTTAAGAGATTGATCTGCTGTTCTTTGATTTCGCAAGCGACTGGCTGCGTGACGAACGCGCTTACTCGGTACCGTTACCTAAAATATGAAAAGTCCGAAATAAATGCCAATTAGAACACCTAATGAATTTTACTTACTTTATTTTAAAGGATGTTGATGACCTTACACTAAGATTTTCGGGTGTCAGATAAAAATGCTTTGCTGAATTTCAGAACAAAAGTTCTGAATATTTACTGGAACACTGCTTGTTGAAAACTGTAATAGCCCAAAATAGACTGTCATTTATTCAGTTAATTTCGCTTATTTGGTACACTATCTTGACTATTGTTAGAACCGTACATAAGTTTAGGATACCGAACTGAATAAAGTTTAAATCTCTCTCTGTATATATATATATATATATATATATATATATATATATATATTGGAAATGTTAAGGTTTGTCCGATATTTTTTACCAGACCCCCCACTAATGAATTATAGCTCTCCAGGATAAAATACAACTTACTTCATCCAACTCTGATGAATCAACGTGATGAGAGGCAATTTTTGATTTTTGGCAAAGCTTTTGATTCTCAATCTGAAAGAAGTTTGTTATGAGCGATTTAGACGAAAGAATTCCTCTAGGATTACCAAGCTCCACATTTTGTCTACGTTTGAGTACAGAAGCCAATAAAGCTTCAGTTTTCTCAGTATTCCATCCCAATACGGTATTCACATGTGTGTAAGAGAAAAACTAAGGAATAATAGTAACACAAACTTCTATTCATTCATAATGAACGTTGACTTGTTTGAAATTGTGAATTAAACTTGTTTAATTTGTCTACTTAGAAGCATTGAATTATTTCATTTTACTACAAACATTCCTGGAGGAGGTAGTTTCGCCTGACGATCTAGGCATAAATGTTTAAATCAGTAAGGAGTTTAAACCCTCGTCACAAACACCTTAGAATTTAGTATATATGTACATTGGTTCAATATTTGGTCGGTATATCCACGTCCAGGTCGGGAACCAGTCTAGTTTTCCCGGATTTACTGTCCACAAGTCCTAGTTGAGCACTGAATGATCATTGAGTAAAATTTTAGACAGCATATTAGTCAAACCGGTTCCTCTTTTCTAAACGGGGATGATTAGCCATCAACACCAGTCAAATTAGAATACATCTAATTCCTAAGCTATACCTAGAATATCTCAGTCGATCTAACAGCTAAATTTCAGCTCGCTTAAGCAATTGAATAATATGTGTGGTCTTTACACAAGTATGATACCAAGACTACAAAAAGAGCATTTTTCCAGTTGCAATAATTATTTACGTCACTAAGAATAGCTCTAATTCCCATTGCCTATAACTCAGCTTTAATGATTCATAAAGTTTGCAAATCAACGGCAAGTACTTGATAAACAGTTGCATTTAACAAAGCGACTTTCATAAACTGTTCTTTACAAAAAACATATTAAGCATTAATAAATATTAAAGGCTATAAAATCAGTGATTAACGCTGAATGAAGAGGATAGGTAGGTTTTTTATTCGCTATCGTAATAAATCTACCTTTATTTAACTACATACATACACAATTTCATGTTGACGAAATAGACTTGACTATTGATGAAAGAATAGATAGTACTAGAGGAAATCATTTAACGATGTTGATTTTTGGATATTAAAGACTACAACAATTCGAGATGGTGCAGAAAATTTGTAACTCAAGTGGAGTTTCGTTCTCTAAGCTGGACGGTTTGATCGTGCAGCTCTCATTGTTCTCCCGAACATCATCAACACAAAATTCAGGCAAATGTGAAGTTTCTGTTGATGATGTTGTTCAAGAGAACAATGAGAGCTCCATGACCAAACCGTCCAGCTCAGAAAAAATTACAACAATTTATTGTCGTAATGTACTCATGTTAAAGTCAGCCGCTAATATAGTTGATATTCTATAAACAAGTTGGAACATTTTCTAGTTCTTAACTAGTTATGCGACTTTTTCTTTTCTTCAAAAAAAGGATATTTGACAAGAAGCGATACATTCGGTGGTTCCCATTGAAACGGCGGCAAATCGGTTTTGACATTTGGGTACAGGTAAGCACGTGCGATACGACTATCTGGAAACCCTGATAAAAAAGAGAGAAGACCGTTGTTAACAAATTAACAAACGATAATAACCAACTAGATAATAACAAAAAAATCATTAGAGAAATCTGAATTAGAAAAATCTCGTAGAAATTATATTTTAGAGAAATAAATGAAATGTATGGCGACAGAAGGACCAAATAGCCTGATTTATTATTGACATACATAGAAATCACATTGAGTTTTCATTTGAAATCAATCAACGTCAAATTGATGAAAGAGCATCAAACATATTTTAAAGAAAATTTGGCGAGACTATAATTTATAGACGAACTAATCAGATATATGATAACAGGTCTTGGAGTTTGACGCGAAATTCGTTCATCCATTTGGCTAAAAAGAGTTTTGGCGTTTCAGCTTGATTCCCCACACTGGTTTATAACCCACATCTAGTCCTAGTTAGTAAGTGGACATTCTCTTGGTCACTCAAAGGTCCCCCATAAATTATAGCCTCACCGAAATTTTAAACGGAAGATATACATAAACATCTGTTTTTACATACCTGGATATGGTTTCAAATTTATCCAACGACGTCTAATTGGATTTGATTCAGCTATTCTAAGTATTTTCATTGATTGTGAAGAATTTTGTGAACGAGTAGTTTGCCACCAGTGTCTAAATAAAAATAGTTTTTTAATAATATAGAAATTACAAACTAGTGAATCTCTTTACTCAGTATAATCATTTTTATGGTTAGGTTAATAATGAATTTATATTCTTTAATGCACATTCTACGAATGTTATAGAGTCAAGTTTCAAAATAGTATTATTAAATGTTAGAGGTATGAGGACAGTTATCACTTCCCGGTTGCCCACACCGTGGAAGGGTTCTTCTAGAGGTACTTAAAAAGGAAATTGGGTTAGAAGTGATCTTAATGACCTGAGAGCGTGACCACAGGGCCGAAGGGACAACTCTTGAGGTCGGTCATACACGACCTTTTTGTGCGTAATTTTTGTGTTAGATCCGTTCTTCAAAGGACCTTACCGCCTGAGACGGATATCCGTGGGATAAGGCGAGGTGTACATTTTTAGGGTCGACCTTTTCTAACCTCACCCCTCCTTGTGGGAAGGCAGCATCGCTGTTATGTTGGTTGTCTGAAAGAAACACCTTACTGCTGTCACACCTATGTACAGTGAGCAGTACGACTTCGCCTTCGGACCTTGGGTTTGCTGCTTTTAGTCTGACCGCTCTTCAACCGATCTGTCTGGCATGGTAGGACCTTGAAGAACGATTGTTCCAGCCAGTATAGCTCGATTGGTTCATCACGATAGGCAAGCTCGACCACCACGTCAAAGTAGCAGCAACTGACTGACTGAGTATTATTAAATGAACGATGAGATTTCATAAACAAAGATGAATGGTGGTAAGCAGTGGGATCCAGGACACGCGTTTCGTCCTATTTGGGACTCGTCAGCTGGATGTACATGCATCCCAGAGTTAGTGTTTAGTCCTAACTATCAATGGGAAGATTCAAACTAACAAAACAAATTAATGAGGTTTTAGTTTGTAATGATACTTTGATTTTTCCAGTATACAAACAGGTAATTTGAGCTTTTCGTGAAATTCAAGAAATACTGAAAGCTACTCTTAAAAAGATAAAGGATTAAAAAAAAGCATCTGTTTTTAAATGAATTAAACCTTTCAGTGACAGCTTTTGAATACTGTAGGGATGGAATAAATAAAATGATGATTATTGACCTCCTAATATGTTCATGAAAAGAAAAAAATTGAACATGTACTGTTTTTTTTGTTTTTTCTAGTTGTTAATTTGCTGTCCAAATTCTAGTGAACTAAGTTTTGAGAAATTGCGTGTGAGCATTATTGTCACAAAATGACTGAACAGCTAAAAATTCTGATCCCTGAAGATTTTCAGGGATGATTTTAACGATATAAAAAAAAGATGGAATAACAAACGATAAATAAAAAAATATAATCAGTGCCTAAATAGGATATTTCGAGTAAAAAAAATTCAGGATACCAAGTGCATGATTAAATTACAATGATTTGAGAACAGGATAAGATACGGTGGCTGTTATGTTTTAGGACCGACCAATGCATATAGATGACCTTAAGCAACCGATACGCAAGATGGACAAGAAAAACTGATACTCTACACTTGGCGGTCTGTCCAATACTAACTAGCCCCAAACAAAGAGGAAGAACACAAGACCAATGATCACCAGTCCAAGATCATTCTTATATTTCAGATAGACGTAGTTTGTATACAAGCAGACCAGACTACAGCACATCATAACATAAGAATTAACAACTATACACGATCAAGCAAAAAAGTGGCTGAGAGTAGGAGAGACTGTGAATAACTGATTGAGAACAGTAAATTTTGTAACAGTAGTAAGTGGGTCAATCGAAAACTTATGATAGAAGGAATGTATATAATGATAACCTAATTAATTAATAATTATACAATAGGAATATATATTTAGTTAGTACAGGGAATTTACTATTCTTTTTGTCTTCGCTTAGATATAATAGTAATAGTTCATGGGTCAGATGAAAACTTATGATTAAGGGAATAAAACGAACACTTAATTCACTAGCTCATAGTAACAATCAAAATAAGTGTAACAATATGGCAAAATATTAGATTGTTCAGTTTGTCACTTTCGCTTATTCTTCTATTTATAACCGATCGAAATTGATGTAGTTATTTATTAGATAAACTTGAGAAAATGGATCTTACGTGAATTGTTCTAGTGGTTGTAATATATCATGAAGTAATTTTTCTGAAGGTTCATCAACAACACCATGAAGCCAGTTGTTAATTTCACAATTTAATAAATCATCATCACCAACATCAAATTCACTTAATATTTCAATAGCTGTAACTGGACCAACTTGATCAATCCCATGTGTATAATCGCTACCGCAGAGAAGCGTCAAACGGAGAATATTCTCTATAGTAAGGCCTAAATATTTCAAATTGTTATGGTAAATGTTGATTACATTAACTATGATATACAGTTATATAATTTTGATAATAATAAAAATAATGACATGAACTCGTAAGTATATTTATATTAGGCTATCATCTCATGTATGTATAATTTCGTCATCTAAATTTGTGTAAGTAGGATGAAGAATAGATTAATGAACCTATTTTCGTAATATACGATTGGTACGAACGATCCACCTACGGGAGTTGTAAAACATTGGCCTTAAAACCAATGGTGGGTATGAACTCGAGAATCTTAAGGAAATAAATAGCATACGAAAGTATTCTTAGTTACCAGCTTACCATGGGATCTTATCTCATTAATTTGCTCTACTACATTTTGGATCAAACCTCTAGATCAAAGGCACGAGGAGTAGCACCCTAAGAAACCCCACCTGCTTCGATTCTGACACCCGGAGTAGTATCCTAACTCACTCATAAATTTAACGATGATTACAACTGAGAAGAAAAATTCTACTTATATATGTTTCCACTGAGTCAGTTAAATTAATAATATTCTAATTTGCTACCTTAAGCAACAGTTTTGAATACATGGTGAAGCATCAAACACACATGTTGCTGATGTATGTCAACAGGTGTTCTTAACAATTACATTCAAATTTAAAGACAACTCATTGTAATTTCGAGTTTAACTGTTGTACAACAAACAATTCATCGAAATTTCAGTCAGGGTCAAGAATAAGGTCAAATACAATCCATTAGTGTACGATACGAATAATTTAATAAGCATTAGACTATTCTTAAGCTTTCGTTTGATTTTCAGATTGTTATGATTACAGAATTATCAATAATCAATTGTCTCTATATGATTTCGGGTTCTTATCATTTATTTCCAAGTAATGTAAACGTTGTAATCCTTCAATAGTGCTGCTGAGTTATCAGTCATTTAGAGTACATTTTTGTATGAGTTTATAGTCATGATCAGATTAAGCATAATGTAGAGTTGATCTGCTTTCTCTCTCTTTATCCTCTGATTGGTTATTAGGTTATAAGGAGATCGAGAAGCAATAAACGTCAAGATCATGGTTGTTGTTCATTGGTCGATAGACGATCATATGTGATCAGACTAGACAGAGAGAGGCCATATAACTAGTTTCTTGTTATTACACGAGATGTAATGCAATCCAACCCAAGAAAGTAGCCTTTTGTTGTTGCTTTCTTCTGAGATAACAGAATTGACAGTCTGATGATTATAAAAGAACCAAGCACTATGTTGTAAAGCGTGAATATATACACTTCAGATTGAAAGTATACTCCAAATATGAAGTATGGAACGGTGTACACAAATAAGAATATTTTTTATTATTATGAGTAATCCAACTGTTAAATAATAATGTATGATCGACATACACTAAACGTGATTGAACTTTACATTTACCTAGGATAGTAAACTATTACATTTTTAAAGCCATTAAGTTACCTAATTTACGTTTTACTTCATCCAGTTTATAAATGGATGGATTTGTTGTACTTTTTAGATTATCACCTCCACCAGTACCAAACAAATGACGACATACAAGTTTAACACCGAATGGCCATACATCTGAATCATCACTTGCAACCAAATCGACTAGACCATGGCGTTGTAAAGCTACACACTGAGCTTCTGCTTCTTCCGGACTAACTACAAATGGAAATCCGAACAAATGGAGTAGATCCTACAAAATATAAGAAAACAGTACTTGATTGATCAAAACAGAACTCTTATAATAATAATAAATTTGAACTCAAACATGTCCAAGATAAAATGGCGTCTTAATATTATTAAGAACTCGATATTCGAGCACTACTCAAAAAGCGATTCGAATCCTACTCAGTCTACTACGGGTTTATGCAAATACAAGTAACATCAATAACCCTCAAATAAAAGTGTGTTATTCGAGGTAGAGTGTACGAATCTGTATTGGGTGAATTTTTTCCTTTCATAAGTAGGGAACAGGTTATTGTTCATACTATATGGATATTTGTAATATTTCAGTGAGTGGAAAATCGAATTCCTGACATTTTGCTCCTTAGTGCAAACCGCTCCTTCAGTGAATAAATAAATGACCGAACTAAATTAACACGAGCTTAAACAATATAAAGGAAACGAAGCAGAATATTTGGTACCATCGAAAGAGCTTGGATTATATCAATGTCATTTCATTTCGATTGAGGTGATTCTGTATGTGTGTGTGATATAATACTATGCATTTATATGCATATAAGTGGATGGGAAAAAACATGATATATTTAAGCGTACATGAGTCAAAATAAATTTGTGTTAATGGTACGAGAAGTGAATACAATGAATTGAAATTGTTTGGATAAACCGTCCAAATTGAATAGTTAATTAGGCCTTCCTTTATATTGATAACTGTAGAGTTTAACAGTATATGAAATCTTTCAGTCACTCAGCTTTCTTTATAATTGGAAAGAGATTTTTGATTTATTCTGGCACTTTTAAAATTAATTCGGTGGTAGGCGAAAGTATCACAAACTGCTATTGATGATTTGATGTGTAGAATTTACAGTTCCATAAGATGATTAAGGGGCCACTTTGTGCAGCTTATGTTTTTTGGCACGGAGTCAAAGTCTCACAAGACTCTCCAATACATAGAACCATTACGATAGACACAAATTAATATATAGATACAATTCTGTTTAGAAGCGCAAGGGATCTTTCCCATAATTCGAATTGAAACACGTAAGAGAATTGGTTATTTTTATAGAAAGTTTTAATTTTGTGTACTGCACTTTTATCATATCGCGGCAGTAAGGTAACACTACGGCGTACTAACCTATGATATTTCATTATAATTGTCATTTAACAATAGATCATTCTCCTTAAATACATTTTTTATAATATTCTTTTTGAAATTATCAAACGGCAAGCTGTTTATTATAGTCGTTTATATTACTTGCTCCCTCTGAATTAATGATCTTGATTTATTTGTTTATTTAAACACATAAATATTGGTACAAAGAGGCACCAGATATGTATGCGCCGCACAAATCTCATTTGATTTGTGTGCGGGCTGTGATACTGCTCAGGCACCCAAACAGAAGAACGTGGTTTTCTTAGGAGACCAAACCCGGAGCCTTTGACCTTAAGGTCCAATCCATAAAGCAGTAGAGCATCGTGAGGAGATGCAGTCTCATGTTAGCCGGTGACCAACGGTTAGTTCATTCTCCATTTGTTTCTTCAGGATACTGGAGCCCATGTACACCATTGGTTTCGAATGAGGGTTTTCCAACTCCCCTAGGTGGACCCTCCGTGTCCACCAACCCGGTTAAAGCGCCAGACATTTGCTCTTCACCCTCAATTTTGTGAACAACACCTCCGCCACGAGAAGGCAGTGTAGGATTTCCCTGACAGAGGCTATATACGCGTGGCCATGTGAGAGCATTTGGAGAGAGAGAGCGGACTCTCCCCACTCTCGGCCGTACCAGGGCACTTGGGAGCAATGATCTTGATAGCTTTTCTAAAAATATTTAGAGTCAAGCAAGTTTTTGCACCGAAAGAATTTACAGGACTGAAATCAATATGCCTATTTGAACGTGTCGGTTTACGGTAAGTGGTTAAGTAAAGAGTTTCATCTGAAATTTCTTTCAACTAAACCGTCTAAAAAATGGCTGAACATTGCGTTCATTTTCGAAAGCGAACTTGATACAAGATGAGAATATATTTGTCAGTTTAGAAGACGTTCGTAAGGACGTCTTTTTAATTGTTATTTACGTATGTGAAGCACACCCACGGTCTGATGGCATTAGCAAAAATATATAATTCTATATGGAACATAAATAAATTGCTTATAAATGGGGACGTGAGAGATTTCATTACTATTCAGTTTGTTCGTATAACATATAACCAGTTTACTAATTACATATTTTTCGTTACGTAAACAAGATCAAATTCACCGTTCAATAAAACTAGACTATAGGCGAGGCCAATCACTTCAGTCTTGGAAAGCATCGATTATGCTAGAATTCCAGACCAATAATAATAATAATTAATTGATGTTAATTCTCTACTAAGATTGACTAATTTATTTAAACTAGTCTTTAAGAAATTTTGAATTAATGAAAATAGAAATTCTGTTTTAGTGTATAGGCTTTATATCTCACAAATAATGGGTATTCCCTTTCAATGGGATCACTTTCTCCATAAGATATTTCCCTATAAATATTATTAAGGACGATCATAATATTTTGAAAAAGTTGTAAGAAACTTGACAAACAGATGACATTTGTAGGTTGTACTCGTCACGGACTAATCTCAATGGTTGAATTCATTAGTCAATTGAAGCTAAACCACCATGGGAAACCTGGGAGTACTAGACGGCCATTTCGTCCTAGTATGAGACTCCTCAACAGTGAGCATCCACAATCGCGCCTTCGAGACCGATAGGTCCTGTGTTCGGATCCCGCGAGCAGGATCGTGGATGTGCTCTGCTGAGAAGTCCTATATTAGGACGAAACGGCCGTCAACTGATTCCAGATTTTCCACTTTTAGCCACTAATTTACGACTTGGAACCGCCCACACCACCAACTACTTTAGTTTGGATAACTGGATGGTATCACCAGCTCTCAGACTTTAAATGTTGCTCAAAGTCAAGTACACATATTGACAGTACTCACAACTGTGTTTGTTAGTGATACAATGAAAAGTCTATAGATGATTTATAAATACTCATGTTGCTAAATTGTAATATTTCCTTATATTTAATGTCAGCAATCTCATTATGTAATCTTGACTGACTGGGCGTTAATAGCACACTTGAGAAATTAAAAACTCAAAGATGCGAACTTTGAAATTTACAAATAACTACCAAATTTTAAATTGAACTTATTTAAGTAAGTTGATAAAAGGTTTTGCTTCGATAGTCAGACGTTAAAGAAAATTTAAGGATTAAATTACCCTGATTTGGTTTGATAAACCAGTGTATCAATATAGGAGACTTTTAACTACAACTACTTAATGACTACCTTTAAGTTTGATTTCAACAAATAAAAAAGGGAATATTTTTACCTGGGCTTCTGAAATACAACGCGTAGTTGTCGACTGAGCTTGACGTGTCAAACGATCAGCTTTTTCTCTCAATACATTATCATCAATGGTATAGTCATCGTCGGGTAATTCAGATGATAATGCAGTTTCCTGTTGATTAGTTTCATAGGTAACTTCATTACTGACTAATTCTTCTTCGCTGACGACAGAATTTATTTTATCCTCGTTTTGAGCATTGTTTTCATCGACAGAATATTCTTGTGATAAGTTAGAGTCAGTAGATGTATTCAAAATTTCAACTTGTTCGTGAGTTTCAACTTCAATAAAATCATCATCATCATCGTTATCATCACTGCTACTTTTGATCTCATCATATTTATCCTGATGAAGTACTTGTAAGGATTCTGATTCATGTATATCGGAAGACAATACATTAAGTTCAGCAGTAATTTCATCTTTTCTGACTTCAATAAGGTCATTTAAATGTTCTGGAATAGATAATTCAATAAAATCCGATGACTTATCAAACTTGGAAATAGTAGATGAACTTTCTGGAAGAATTTCATTGGACATATCATCATTTAAAGAATCGTTGATAAGTGGTTTATTGTCATTTTCGCAATTATCATTAAATTGGCTTTTATTGTCAGTCACATGTGATGTGATAGACACTTGATGTTCATCTGAATATTCTTCAATATTCACTAGTTTGATTGGTGTACATTCAGAGTTATATACACTATTTTCATTTGTAGAAATATTTGTCTCTTGTGTTGAACAAGGGTTTTCACTCATAAAGCCGTCATTAGGTATTTCTTTGTTCTGGTCCCCTTTTAAAATTCCCACTTTTTTGCATTCATCCGACACATTTAAGTTCTCAGTATTATATGTAATTAACCTGAATGAAACAAAAAAATGGTATATATGTACAGAACATTTACAAAAATTGCTTCTGAGCATTCACTATTAGAAATGACAATATTTCAAAAAAATCAATCCGACTGAGTGATTTAAACATGAAGCCATTCCATCGAATAACTTCTATAATACTGTACATGTCAACATAGTTGTTATAAACGAATACTTTCGTAGACTAATCATTTGAACTAATTGTGTGAACCGCTAAGAAGAAATTTACTCAGAAGAAAAACTTTAATTTATCCACATACAATATCGGACATAGCTATTAATACATGATAATACCTAATATAGATTAATGCACAAATATAGGTGGTTCTTTTGTGTGGACGTCTCTGTTGGGGTGATCCAGAAAACTTCTCGCAAAAGACAAGAAAAACTGAGGAAACAGTAAGATGCAATTTATCCAATCAGCGTTCACTAGAAGTTTTGCCAGAAACACAAAGAAAGTGAAGAGTCACATGTAGAGTTTCTGATTGGCTGATTACTATAGTGCTACTATGTTGAGTAGCATTCCAGAATTTTCGGGAAAACCCAAGGACTTCTAAAATACTATGAAAACTCTATATTTTCTGTACATGAATGAACCTTTAGAGTAAAGTGCTTCACGCACATTTTGCGCCTTTTCTCTCGTGTTCAAGTTGCTGTGTAGATTTAGCTTGGGGGTTATGAGAATAGCTTAGGAACCGAGTATAGTGTACAATTAGCAAAACTTATCAGTCACAATGAATCAGATGATCAGAAAATGGCTGGTTACGGAAAAAGAAACTAACATTATTTCAATGTAACAGGTACTTTTGACTTTCTAAATGCAAAGCACTTTTACAAGACCAGCTAGAGCCTTTGTCTACACTCACTCTTAGTGATGAACTGTCAGAAGTAGTAGAAAACTTCATGTGTCTGGATAGCTGTGTGTCCTAGTAGTAGAATGTCAGATATGAGAGCGATCTACGTGTAGTGAAAGCCGAATTGGCTTACACCCATCTAGACCATCTCCGGCGCCATTGTAATGTTAGTGTGTTTGTTAAAGGCTAGATTTACAATCTTGAGGTGAGAGCAGTTCTGTTCAATACTTGCGAAACCTGGCCTCTTCAAGTTGAAGATGTTTAGCCACTCTGTATTCGATCATCATCATTGTTGACAGTGACAACACCATGCTAGTAATGGGGAGGCTGGGCAATGTGTGATCGCGGACAATGACGATAATCCAATTAGTGTCCCCATCTTGAAATACCGAATTCGTTGGCTTGAACATGTAATAAGAATATCTCCTCAGCGAATTCCAAATCGTGTATTATTTTCCGATGCCTAGACTGATTGGAAAGATAGGAGAGGTGGTCAATGTATGACATGGTAACGTGGTACGAAAGGATGTCGTATAGGGCTGAGGTTTGTCAGTTTTTACAGACTCCCGTGGTCGAGGTCCGAGAGACAGTGCAACTCAGGATCTTGAAGCATTATCAGACATGGATCAAAACAGAAAGCAATTGTGATCCTGTTGTAATTTTATTCTATTTTCCTCATAGAAGTGAGAGGAACTTCTTGAACTGAAAGGAAGGATTTCTTCTAGATATACTTTTCTAACTGGACTGCTTCTCGCACTACCTACTACTCTCATTCATTAATTATTTTTTGATTATATTCATCCTACTTCGTCCATCTCTTCACAAATTCATTCAATTATTTTTGTGTGGCGCATATTTAGTATGGTTCCTACTTGTACCAGCACATGTGTTCAAATAAATAAATAAGCGTACAGAAGTGTAAAATCATCATTTACAAAGCAATCATCTTCATATTGAATGAAACCACTATTATTTGACGTAAAAGGAAGATATGTTGAATGATAAACTTGGTATAGGTCTAATATTTCGTATTGAGTAGGTGTAGTGCATTGAAACTAAGCGATTTCGCTTCTACTCATCAAAATTGAACATAATTTTCTGAGAATAAATTATGCTTTATCAATGTAGAGTAAACTTGATAGATTCAACTTTAAGTAAAGAGGCAAAATCAACAGTCTAAAACAAGTCTTTAAGATAATAGACAAATGCCTAACTAGTTCTTCAACTAGAATTCAAAATTCTTACAGAACAGTTTGAAATCATCAGTTTATTTCAGAGAAATCAAGTGTAGTAGATTCATCACATTTTAATATTAAACAAAGTTGAGAATCCCATCGGTTGATCTTTGAAGACAATAAACTGAAGAAGCCTTGCCTCCACATCCCCTATCAATTACCTTCAAAATGAAGTGCCTAAGAGAAAAATGTCCGCGTGTGAGGTCGAAGGTTTTGTGTAACATCCCCGAGTGCAAGGTCATGGATCCGCACTGATGAGGATTCCCATACCAGAACGAAACGGCTCTGCAGTGCTTCCAGGTTTCCAATAATGGTTTAGCTTACATCAGTTCAGAATTTCAATGACATACATGCATATTCGAGCTTTCGAAAAATATACTCACTTTTCAAGATTCAACGTTGTAGATGAAGGCAATTTAGTTCGTTCGTCCAACTGATTCACTGGAGATTTTTTTATGATAATAGCATGTCCTACATCTTGTGACTGAATACGCATAGCTGTAGCTATGGTCTCAGTAGTCTCTGAAGTAGTAGTTGACTGTGTCATATTAGAAAACGGTAAAGTTGAAAATAACGACTGATTCTTTAAAATATTTTTTATCATAGAATTGTTTAATTGAAGAATTTGTTGAACAGCTTCTTGTTTAGTTAGATTATTAGATAACTCTTGTTGACGTTCTGCTAAACGACGACGTAAAAGTAAACGTTTCATTTGAACATCTGAAAACTGTTCTGGGTTAAATTGTGCTTCATGTAAAATTGGAAAGAAAAAAGATTACTAATAATGATGTGAAATATTTTATAAATAACTGTCAAGTTTCATCATCAGAGTGCTGCTTCTAAAACATACTGTTTATATACAATATATGAAATGTGACTAGCAGTGCGATTCAGGACGCGCATGTTTTTCTATTTGGGACTTGCCAGTCAAAGGTCCTACGTTTGATTCCTGGACGTGGAATCGATGATGCGCATCTCTAAGGAGTGCCATACTAGGAAGAAACAGATTTCTAGTATTTCTAAGGATCCAACGGTGGTCTAAGATCCATTTGTGATTTGCACTATGAAAATTCCGCAACATACACGAATCTTTTTATTCGGAAGTAAACAGTTGAAGGTCCAAAGTGAAAGTCAAAAACAAACACTGTTATGAAGGAGGTTTTCCGTGACTGATGAGAGAATTTTCTGATTGTTATAATCAGTTGGGTAGAATGCTGGTTGATAAGTGAACGAGATGATATGATGTGTGACTGAATGACGGCTGCTAACGAGAAAGAACTATTTATGTAAGCCTCCAAATGATTAGAACCCAAAGACAAGATCATCCTAGCCAGATGAACAGATATTTTTTGTGTAATAAAACAAAATTCTTATATACAGAATATGAACGAAAGGTGATCATTATCAAATTTCACTGGCGATTGGAGGGATTCGCTTCTGAAGACCTGTTTGTTAGGCTAAATCTTTAGGCATCGTAACACTTCGGTATTAAATTCAAGTTTTTTTTCAAATCGTGGTCAGTTTTTGGTTTTAGGGTGAAAAAAGCTGGGTTAGATAACTGGCTAACGTTTTCCTCACTATCTAAAATGAGTTATTAATGTAAATTCAAAAGATTTTAACCTCCACAAATCTACTTCTGTTGATTAGTGCCTGAGAAAAACTGCAACTAGAAAAGAATTATAGAATGGGATTTGAATAGTGAAATAGTTAGGCCATTAAAATTAAAGTATGAAATTAAGTATTAGATTAAAACAGCTTAGAACGTAGTGCTCAGTTTTAAGATACATATTTCAGTCAGAAGGATAGAAAAACTATCCGGTTGGTTAAAACAAGAGTGGTAGGTTCAAATTTGTGTACTGATAGGTGAAAATTGTAAAGTGCTTTAACTAATAAGCTACTGTTGAGTGAGTCTGAAAATGTACTAAACGATTTTCATTAGCACAGACACACACACATAAAATAAGTACTTAGTCAGTTAACTGTAAGCAACGTGGAACTAAGTATATATGTGAATCAAGTTACAACATCAATATATCAGTACAACAAGATGGCATTATCCAGACAAAATACAAGTACTCACTTTACCTTCATCATTAACTTGTACTAAATTGTCACGGCATGAACTAGAGTCTAATGTTTCTCTCAACATCTGAACAACACGTAATTGAGCTGGTAAAGGAAGTGCACGGAATGCATCTGAGTCGAGATCAACCCCAGAAAATTTTTGATCCGATGAATAAAAAGCATCCTTTAAAAAATCGTTTAAGAGTTAAATATATTAATACTTATTAGTGTTATTATTATTTAACAACATACAAATGTAATACACCATAAGCATCAAAAGAGGTATCACCGTATAGTGGATTACCATTGAACCGTAAAAAAAGATAAATAAAACTACTCATTTTTGTGATAAACGAACACTTTAAATTGAATGACTGGTTTTCAATATCAAAAGCTGTTACAACTGAGTTATCACTGAACTAATCGAATTCTATAGCTCTGAAGTTGCAATGTGATCAACTAGTTTACGTGTAACTCGATATTGTTAGTCTCAACTAGCACAAAACCAAAGCCCAGAGTTTCCTGCTGACTGCATAGTGCACGCGATGTTGAGTCACTTAAACTAATGTCTATATTGAAAATTGTTCAGTAGAATTCGATCAAATTTTAAATGACCAATCACCCATAAATATCTGTTCTACAATAGTTCATTGGTTACCCAAATAGTTCAATAGTAAAATCTCAAACTCCGAATCTGAGTATCATCGGTTTAAATCGCACAGTGGGGATTGGTCCCCTCAAGATTGCAGATATGACTTGTTAACGATTGTTGACTACTTCTAACCACTTAACACATCAAGGGTAATAAATTGTCTTGCTATAAAAGTAGTTATAATGTTTCAGGGTAAGTGACCTATAAGCTGATTTACTACAATGACAGTTTATCAAGTTTATCTGGTCTTGATATTTTGCATATAAGCGTGTTATTTTATCACATCAGTAAGATCTACTCATCTAACTACAGTGATCTTGTCTTTTATTTCTAATCATTCAGAAACTAAGATCAGTAACTCGCTCTCCTGAGTACCCAACACTTGGTCACACCATATCATGGTGTTCATCTACTGATTAACACCTAACCCATTGATTTTAATAATCAAGAATTCATCTCATTAAACCATTAAAAATTTCTTCCACATCTTTGATACGTTGAAGATCTATATACTTTTTCTGCTTTAGCGGCAAGTTCGGAAAACTTAAACGAATGTATCAAGAGATTAAGCCTACTTGAAATTATTTAACTAAACAGTTATCCGAAGAACCTTCTAGACACATCATTCATGATATTCAACTACCAACGTGAAATAATTAATACTTCTATGGTATATAATTTAATACCTTGAAAATTTGCCCGGCTAGATCAGTAGGTAGAGCATGAGACTCTTAATCTCAGGATCGAGGGTTCGAGCCCCACGTCGGGCGTCGTTCGGTTTCGTTTAACCTTGAAAATTTAGTGACTTTAATATAAGCCGAATACAACTTAATTGAAATTATTTTTTTTAACTTTAAATACCGATACCATCACCACTAAAGGTGATATATTTGCATACATCATTAGTGTGCAGTAATATCATGCTATTTTGAAAAGTCCCATATTCTATATTTACAACTCTATCTATCCATGTCTTGTACACATAAAATACACACTTCGATTTAGTGGTAGATATCTCTGAAAATCAAAGACTTAACTATAAGTATATCCAATTTGAGGATCACAACTTAAGTGAAAAGCACATTGTATACACTACCAATATTAATAAAAACAATTACTCCTACCTAATGAGTAAATCAGCCCCCAAATGCCCTGGTACGGCCGAGAGTGGGGAGAGTCCACTCTCCCTCTCGAAATGCTCTCACATGGCCAGCGAATATATAGCCTCTGCCAGGGAAGTCCTACTCACTGCCTTCTCGTTGCGGGGGTGTTGTCTACGAAAGTGAGAGGACGAAAAGCGAATGTCCGGCGCTTTAACCGGGTTGGTGGACACGGAGAGTCCACCTAGGGGAGTTGGAAAACCCTGATTCCAAACCAATGGTGCACATGGGCTCCAGTATCCTGATGGAACGAATGGCGGACGAACCTGTCATTGGTCAACGGCTACCATGGGACTGCATCTCCTCACGATACTCCACTGCCTTGTGGATCAGACCTTTTGGTCAAAGGCTCGGGGTGTGGCCCCCTAAGAAAACCACCTGCTTCGGTTTGGACACCCGGGCAGTATCACAGCCCACACACAAATAAATGAAATGATGAATTCTACTGACGATACTATCCCTGCTCATACTAGAAGCAAGACAATTTACATTATTATTATTATTACCTTTATTATTATTATTTACCATATCGCTAACTCACCCCTTTTATCCCCAATTTGTGTAACCTTACTTTTCAACTTAAACAGCAGCTCGCCCATGGTGGAAAATCTGTCATGTATAAACGATCTCCAGTCACTATCTGGTTGAAAGTGAATGCTTACACCGATTATGAATACTGAAGCAGTTTTTCTGAAACCACGTACGCCGTTCAAGCTGGCTTCCTTCAACGTTCGCACACTAATGCATATCGGACAACAGATGGGGCTGGCTATGTCTTTAGAAAGTCTTAATGTTGATGTTTGTTGTCTATCCGAGACCCGTATTCATAACTCTAGTGAAGTACTACAAATCCGCTCTCCATCTGTCGCCTCGAAAAGCTTGTTCCACGTGCGCTTATCCGGGGACCCTGTGGCATCTTCGTCTGGTCTTGCTGGCGTTGGTGTCGCACTAAGCGCTAGGGCTGAGGCAGCACTAATCGATTGGATCCCCATTAACAGTTAGTTATGTGCTGTTAGATTAGAAAGTTCCATCAAAGTGAGAAGAAATCGGCGTGAGAAACGGTGTCTTTTCGTCATCTCCGCCTATGCCCCGACAGATTGCAGCCCGGATGCAATCAAGGATGAGTTTTACCATCAGTTAACAGTTCTTCTCCAGAAAGCGCGTTCGACAGATATTGTAGTACTAGCCGGAGACTTGAATGCACAGGTTGGGCGTCTAGGCACGGAAGAGAGTCGTTTAGGTGGCCGATGGGGACTTGTTGGTTGCAGGACAGATAACGGGGACCGTTTGCTGCAACTGTGCACAGACCACAACCTGTTTCTGGCCAGCACTAACTTCCGGCACAGTCATCGCCGGTGTACCACCTGGCGTCCTCCCTCTGCATCTCAAGCCTGGACTCAGATTGATCACATCGCGATCAGCTACTGCTGGCGTGGTTGTGTACAAGACTGCCGCTCCTTTTGGAGTACCTATCTGGAGTCTGATCATGCCCTGGTCTGCGCCAATCTCGCCTTACTTTTCAGTGGCCGAAGGATTGACCACCACCAACGGATTGTTGTTAGTAAACTGGCTGCAACTTCTGTTGCAAGTAAGTATCGAGCGAAGCTAGCCTCTAGGCTAGCTACCACCCCAACGAAAAGTATAGATGAGCATTGGTTGCTTCTTCACGACGCCATGAAAATGGCGAGTAAAGCTGCTTGCGGCTTCGCGAAACGTCCCGCTTACAAGCACTGGGTTTCTTCTGACTCCTTACAACTGATGGAAGCCCGTCGGTCTACTCCGGGTGACCGTGAGTTTGACCACAAACGAAGGCTGTTACGTAATGAAATCGGGAAAAGCTTGCGCAAGGACCGGGAAGCCTGGTGGTCGGAGCGTGCTAATGAGATGGAAGCAGCAGCTGCATCTGGTAACTGCCGGAAGCTCTTCCAACTCATCCGAGCCACTGGCAGCAAGAAGTCTGGTGTGAGTGAAACAATCTACGAGGATGATGGGATGCCAATCACTAATATCTCTCGACGTCTTGGACGATGGGCGGAATTCTTCGAAGGGCAGTTCAACTGGCCTGCTGCTCCGGCAACATCAACCAGCTTGTCCTGCCCCCCATGGCTTGTGACGACTGATCCACCAAACGAGGCGGAAGTCCGCAAGGAACTCCAACTCTTGAAACGTTACAAATCACCTGGCCCAGATGACTTACCTCCGGCTCTTTTTAAAGATGGTGATGACCTTCTGACTAAGGAATTGACTGTGTTGTTTGGAAAGGTTTTGGAACAAGAAAGTGTTCCAACATCATGGAATGAGTCGATAGTCGTCCCTATCTTTAAAAAGGGTTCACGTTGTTTCTGCAATAACTATCGGGGGATAAGTCTACTTTCGATTGCGTCCAAACTATTGGCTTCTATCATTCTTCGTAGGTTGTTTAAAACCCGAGAACGATTGACTCGCGAGGAGCAGGCTGGTTTTCGTTCTGGTCGAGGATGCATCGATCACATCTTCACCCTCCGCCAAATGTTAGAACACCGTCAAACTTATCACAGGCCAACAATCGTAGTGTTTCTTAATATCAGGGCGGCCTTCGATTCGTTGGACAGGACTGTTCTCTGGGATTGTCTATTGAAGAAGGGTGTGCCTGAGAAGTTCATTAACATCTTAAAGGCCCTGTATACGAACACCTCAGGCAGAGTGAGGGCATACAACCACCTTTCTCCCTTGTTCCATTCGAGCAGTGGGGTTAGGCAGGGTTGCTCGTATATCTAGATAGCTATATAAGTGCTGGTGGTGGCGTGAGTGATGAGATTGATGCACGTATAATGAAAGCCAGAGCGGCTTATGCCAATCTGGGCCATCTTTGGCACCTTCGTGATGTTAGTCTGGCCGTAAAAGGTCGGATCTACAACGCGTCGGTGAGAGCAGTTTTGCTCTATGCTTGTGAAACCTGGCCTCTCCGAGTTGAGGATGTTAGACGTCTCTCTGTGTTCGATCATCGTTGTTTCTGAAGGATTGCTGACATCCGGTGGCAACACCATGTTAGTAATGCAGAGGTTCGGCATCGTGTGTTCGGGCGCAGAGACGATAATTCAATTGGTGTCACCATCTTGAAACACCGACTTCGGTGGCTTGGACATGTTTTACGAATGTCGTCCCAGAGGCTTCCACGTCGTGCATTATTTGCCGACCCTGGGACTGGTTGGAAAAAGCGGAGAGGAGGTCAGTGTATGACATGGTGTCGTGGTATGAAATATAGCTAGCTTCTGTTGGTCCTTCACGACTCCCTGGTTGGGGTCCGAGAGATGGTGCAACACAGTGGCTAGAGACGTTATCAGATATGGCTCAGAATAGAAGCCAGTGGCGATCCTGCTGCAACCTTCTTTTACTTTCTACATAAAGAATGGTTCTAACTTCTGGTTGTACATTTCAGTCCGCCTTATCTTTTCATCCCTTCTCTTCCTACTTTCATTATTTTGTGTGGTGCATATGTACCTGGTGCCCTTTTGTACCAATATATGTGTTTAAATAAATAAATAATAAATGAGTAAATCAAAATAGTGGGAAACCCTCTATTCAAGCATTTACAACTTTTGGTGGGGATGTTAGATCCTAAGGAGCCATTTCGTAAACGTCTTACTTTTGTAATTTTATTTTGGAAAATTGAATGTCTTATTTTCGCGCCAAAAGCGCCTATTTTTATCTTCAGATTGTATTTCTTACTTGGGGGGACATTAAATGTCATTGGTTCGTTTCCTCTTTTAGTACATTATTTTTTGACGTTTTCCAAGGGCATTTTTGTACTGTATGTATGCGCATGAGTTGTGTGTTTGTTTGTTCGTGCTTCCGACTGCTTGTGGGATATACATTGCGCTCGGCTTGGTCTAGTCTTGTCCCTCTAGTTAGCAGACCTGGGGTGCAGTGGAATAGTTTAGCTTGTCCTGTTGTTATGTTGCTGCCTTTCGTTTCGTTTGTCGGTTTTCGGTTATATCGCAATCTCTTCAAACGTAGGAGCTTTGTTACAGCTTATAGCAAGTTATAATTTTAAGCAGGGATTTATTAGAACATTCACTATATATATTTATTTAAACATTCCTGTGAATTTATTCTTCCACGCAATTTATCTAGCCAAATACTCTATTATCTACTTGGAATACCTAAAAAATACGGTGAATTGAAGAAAGAATGCCGACGTTTTTTGAACACTCAGTGATAGTAATGAAAGAATATTTAAGATAGATTTCCTTTAGGACGTATGCATCAATGATTAAGATGATATTAAGAAATGTATTCTAACAAATCAAACACTACGACATTGCGCGACCATTTTCCATTGTCTTTGGTAGGTAACTGCCTCACACCATGCATGGTTGAACTCCACTGGTCATGGCTTCCCACGAGAACCCTAGAAATTTTCTCTTAAAGCTAGTCACTAGTGAGATGACAATTTTTAGTACAGGCTGGTCATAATTTCAATGAAATTCAACAATATACACAGCCCCGTACTAAAAATCAAACACTACTTGACTTCGTAGTTTGATCACCCCCTGCTGATAGGTCGGTAACTGATGAAATTTAGCCATATGTACAAAAGCTTCGTCACGTTTTCTATTAATCTGTGTCGCTTATGAAGTAGGTCAGACTGCCTTTTCAGTGGACTTTCTCACTGGACGGTGAATGTCCTGTGCAACAGTTTATTATTATAGTAGCATAAAGCCCAACTTTAGGAAGCAAAAAACGCGTATAGCCTGTATGCATTTGATAATAAGTGTCTTCAAAGAATTACTCGCTGATGGTGGAACCACATGCGGGGCACTGATGACTTTTGATGTAACAAGTGTGACAAATTAGTTGGAGAGATTGAAACCAAAGTAGTTAAAACATATGATACGCATTTACTGAGCCATTATCCACTACTACAGTACAGTTTAATACTAAACAAATAAAAGGAAATCTAATGTGACTACCCTACGAAGACTACTTACCAGATAATCACGCGCCAGCTCATCATATTCTAAACCGGCCTTTTCACTCAACATACGATTATTATCATTATTACAGGCTGTAGAACTAAAATGTAGAGAAAAAAAGAGAATTATACACAACCAAAAATTTCTTTATTCCATATACAATAACTGAATAACCAGAGTTAAGTGATTTAAGCTCGTTTTCTGTTGTAGGTGAATAAGCGATGCACCAAGAACACGAAATCACAGAACAATCTGATCAATGACTTGCTTATACAACAAACAATAACTAGTAATATTGAGTAATAATTAACATTAAACTACAAACAGAAAGCAACCATTACTAACAAATACAGTCAAATTTATTGGAAAGCCTCACTTGTTTTGAAATGATTCTGGTTAGTTTCAATAAATCATTTAGTTCAGTTTAAGCGGTAAGGATGTACATATAATGACAAGATTTTTTGTATTAAATAACAGGATAGTGAAGGCGACCTTTGTGGTTAATTCCCCACCCATTTATCATTTCTTAGCTTAATTCAAGGATCATTGCCACCTATTCTGAAGTAGCTTACTTTCAGTTCTTCTAAAGTACTTTTCGACATTCTAGTGAAAGTGCATTTGTGTGCACAAGCAACTAGCCACATTAAAGAAATCTCCTTATCTAAAGAGCTGCAAAATGTCCGTGATTCCTAAAGCACGAGAATTCATCTCAGAACCGCATCCGCAGTGGAAAATATTTTGATGTCACATTCAAGAAATGAACCAACTATTTGCCAAAAATAATAACAAATCATATTATCAACAAACGCGCTTTTTACAAAATTTAAAATCACTGATCACGAAAAGTAAGTGAAATTAAAGGACTTTATTATCAGTATGGGGATTGTGGGGACTGTTGAATTTCATCGAGATCACCAACCGATCTACGTTAGACAACTATTGGAAACCTTGAAAGTACTGGACGGTCGACTTGTCATTGAATGACACTCCTCAGCAGTACGAATCCGCGACCACAAGACCAGGAATCGAACTCAAGGCCTCTGATTTCGCGTGAAAATACTTAAATCCTAGATCACCAAACCGGGATCCGACGGTGTACGAGTCTAATTTCAATAAATCCATGAGATTCCATGACCATCTGTCGTCTTTGATGGGCAAATTTTCATATCCGAAACAGTTGGACTCCAGTTGTCACGGCTTGTTTGTACGATCAATGACTGTGATTATTCTTACCCTAAAACATTTACTATGAGTCTGCCACATTTGATTCATTTCCATGTGTCCAGTGAGATTTCACTAATTTTACACATAGAAGAATGTTTTATTGTAGCGATTGAACTCTTAAAAATACTTTTTTATTCATGATAGGTTCATAAACCTACAATAGCTGGTATAAAAAAACGATACTTACGTTGAGTCTTGACTTGGAGCTGAGAACATCTTAGCATCTTCTTTAGCTTGATAAGAATCTGACTGTTGTCTCAATCGTCTTAATAATTCATGTTTCGCTGTAAATAAGCAGAGATAGAATGTTTACAAACAAAAGATAGGTGTATGTATTTTCGTACATTAAATCATGAACTGATTCTAGTTAGATCACTATTGAGAACCTGAAAGCACCGAAAACCTGTTCTGTTTCATTATGGGACTCCCCAACAGTATACATCCATGAACGCATCGCCGGATATCGAACTCAGGACCTTAGATCTATGGTATAAATCATATAAATAAGAAGTGAGCTCTCAAGTTAACTGAAAAATTAGGAACAACCAAGAAGTCTGAACACGAATTCAAAAATATCAGTTATTATTGGTATTTGATTACAGAATCCTTCGGAGAATTACTTGAGTATGTTGGAACCACCGAATAAGAAACAGTAAAGTTAGACAGACAGTACTAGTTGAAGATATGGAATCTATTGATGAGGTGGTGAATATTTATAGAATGAGATAGTTGGGATATGTATTACATATAACCAACTACCTCTTATTTCAATCTGCGATGTAGTCTGGTGTAGTAGTTGGTTGTAAGAAACTAGGGGTGGCCAAACCAAGACGTGGCATCAGTTTATGAAATCACTGACTACTGTATTGAGCTGTTTTGGTAGATTTAGACTACCTAGATGGAGTCTATTTGATTATCGTGACCCGCAGCTGAAAGTGTTGGTTGATTGGCTTAGAATCAGTCTAAATGATGCAGATGCATTCACTATGTTACATTATGGATCCTGAGATTTATAATTACCTTACACATTTCTTCATTCTATGAATTTATTCTTTCTTCTCGAATCATATATTCTATGCCTAATCTTGTCTACTGCTACGTATACTGTTACTAACTCAAATACCCCGAGATTTGTCTCGATCATTTCATCTCGCTCTTCTAAGGTAGTGTGGTGTCTCGAAGCGACGCATTAATGTCTCGTGTTCTACGTTGTACATTACTGACTAACTTCTTAATTGATTTTGTTCACAGCATTCATATAATATTATTCAACTATTATACATTTTTGTAACTAACTTGGAGGTATAAAATTAGCCTACTTTGTCGATAAAATTTTCTTTGAACGGATTCAAATTTATGTGAATGGATTAAGCAACTACGTAGTCAGAGGTCAATCGGTAGTCAGCAGGAATGCAAAGATAAATGAAAGTAAATCTTCTGTCGATAATCTTTCACAAGCAAACTCATCAAAATAGACTGGTTTGATTCATGTGGAATAATTAGAGCGTTTACCCCTACATAGGGTATCTGACGGTGGATGCTATTTGGAATGACAAGAAAAGTTTTCCAATTAAAATATCCACATCACAGAATACTAAAAAACCAAAACCAATCATTTCTGCCAGATGTGTCACAATTTCACATTAACTTACAATAGTGATTCAATCATTATATTTTATCTTTTACACAACTAATAGGTGTCGACTAATATTTTTTGGCTTAATTGAATAATACAACTTTAACTAACCAGTATCTTCAAAACATTCTGCTTTATCCGGTGATGTTGACAGTGATTTTACAGAGGATTCAGCAACACGACGTAAAAGTCGACGAAGAAGATGTTTTTGGGCCTTTTCTGCTTTTGCTTCGGATAGGTTACGCAACTGACGTCTTGAATTCTAAATAATACAAAATCAACATTCGAAATGTGACGGAACAAAATAATAGATTTATAATAAATAAAAATACAAATGACGGGCGGCCTGCTTAAACATCTGGGCTACCTGTTTCCCGTCATCTATATATTTCAACAAGTTATCTAATATTGTTTGTTTTAATACATCATTATGGCTATTAAGCACACAACCTATTCCAGTGCGTTTCTGAAAACTGTACAACCTTTCGCTGTAAAAGTTAGAAAAGGTCTAATCAGAGATGTCGTGTTTGCTGGGAACATGCAGCAAAAAGAATATACATTATTCATATGTCGATTGACAGAACTGCTGACATCAAACTGGCGATCACTGAATGTTTATCATCAGGAGCAACGAAGAAATAAGAAACGTAAATATGTTGAAATACTTTATGCTGAGAATTCGATTTTGTACCAAATAATATAATATTGAATCAAGCTAATAATAATAATAATAATAATAATAATAATAATAATAATAATAATAATGCTTAGATGTCAATTAGTACGTTGGACCAATCACAAACTGAACAAATGATCAGTGCACGCGATCGATCAAGAAATGTCTTGTATTTCTAAGGGATATATATACTGAAAGAGAGTATACATAAACTACTGATCCAGTTTAGTCCACATACTTCTCACTCTCGGTCCTTACATTTGAGTAACCGGTTGGACTCTTTCATAAGAATCTCAAGTATTAGTGTCAGGATCGGACACCGAACAACACAACATTAATAAATATCTTATTCTTATAGTGTTTTAGAAAAATCCAGGATTAAATGCGAAATATAGTTAACGTTAAACTGTACAACTGTTAAATTATTTATATTATGAATAGAATTGTGATCGGTAGACGATGTACAACGATACAATATGGTTTATCGTTAACTACTTACGAGATCATGTCACTGACACAAGCCAGAGAATAAACTTAAACTACTTTTTTATTGTGGTTTTCTTTAAGTATAATCTCACTTTTTTAAGCAGCATTAAATTTGATTTGTGAGATACAAATTGAGTATGTCGCTCACCCACTCGCCAATGAAATTACGGTATGATCAATACGCTTAATCCTCATTCGTCATTTCAGTTAACTACTAAGTCTTTCTATTCATAAATAGTATCCTCTACGAATGGTGTATAACATTCAAATTATACTTCTAATTTAATTAAACTTCAGACACAAGCGATCTGTTTACAATGATGTAGGAATTTCGTTTATTCTTTGATGAGGTAGATAAAATTAACTCCTGTCGACGAATTCAAGCACTTTAGATCTATCGACGTAATGAATTGTATCAAAACAGACAAATATAATATCAAAGACTATTTACTGGGTAATAAATTGTGATGAAATATTGAATTATTATCGGTATAAAATGTATGTGAAGACTGTTCAGTTAGCAGCTAATTTATATCATGGAAAACAATCAAAAACTGGAGGACGTCAGACAGGTGTTTCATCTCAATATGGAACTACTTATCAGTGAGCACTCATGACCGTGACGAAAATTTATGATTATGAAAGGATTAGTACGGATTATATATAATTTGTTTCAAAAATTAGACCGACTGAGAAATATCAGGAAGATTTTCCAGAGAATCAGAGAGAATTTATAATTTAACATTTTTTCAGTTGATCAATTTTGTCGCGAAACAGGACTACTGAATTCTTCAACTAATTAGATCACGATTTTATAGCGGTAAAATATATTGACTCTTCATACAATAAGTGTCACTCAGAGATCGGTACACGAATTTGTACACAGTTACTATAAAACAAGACACCAAAAAAATACCGTACAAAGAAAATGAGACTATTGAGAGATAGAAGAATGAAAGATTACACAATCAGTAAATAAACAAACAAGAGTAATATTTACTAAAAAAAAACATAACTCTTATTTTAATCTATGGCTCACAACGTTTCAATCCACTAAGTATAGTCTCTAGGACCCCCAACAGAGGGGTCGTGATAGACCGACAGATCCCAGTCCTTCAAACTCATCTTTCATACTATGAGGCTATGTCATAAACTCAATAACCCTTCGTTTTTCCCCTCAGTCCAAGAGTCAAAATGGGATCTAAATAACAAAAAATATGTGAAACCTGGCTTCACTTTATTGCTTAGATTTACTAAATAAGGAATTAAAATCGCGTGAAATGAAATGATTTACATAAGAAATGTATGACTCAAACAAAATGAGTTGCGGATCTTCAGTCAACCCAAAGTATGCAATGTTCCTACTTATCTTTATAAAATCTCTCAGAATTTGTAAGAGATAACTACTGATCTTTTGTATATGTAACATTGTATGTTAGTTTTAATTTCAGGGATAGTTTCTTCCTTGAAACAACAATACCACTATTCTTTATTTTCAATGGCAACCTACAATTTGCAAATACTGGAATTATGAAACTAGAAAACTACCCAAGTGAATAGTTTTAGTGGTTAACTTGCATATCTGAATGCTATCATGTTTGCAATTTAACACATTACAAGGAATAAAAACATTAAGATAAATTCATATCAAAACTAATGGAAAGTGGAGTACTCATTCATTTATATCAGCTACTCATCACAAAAAATATTTTATGGTTCAAGGAATTGTAAAAAGGAAATACTCACAATAGTTGATCGTTTCAGTGCTGGGGTTTCACCATCGAATACAAATACTGGCTTGATTCCAAAAAAAAGTAATTTGCATAAACGACGAAAAAATATAGCTAAATAGTTACGAGGACCACCTGCTGCGCCTCGAGATTTCACAGCTTGATGCAACCAGATGTTCATATCTACAGTGAATATCATAATAAAGTAACATGTCAAAGTAAATAACTATTTTAAAATATCTGTTTGCTAAACCTGGATGACTTAAAAACAGTTGGTCATAATTTCAAGTAGCAAGGAAGATTATTTGGAAATGGAGGAATTTTCGACAATATAGTGGTTATTTAAAGGTATTTATGGCCTAATTAAATGGACATTATCAATCATGGAACATTAGATGAGCATCATGGATACATATTGGAGTTAGGTTGACCGTTGTTAAGTTCCGAAAAATATGGTCACTGCGATAACTTTGCACTTTAAAAACAGCCATCCACAGAAACGTCACTGAACTCTGGTAAGAATATTTTAAACAGCAAAATAGACATTGTTGCTGCTTTATCACAAATTTAATCAAACAGAAGCCGATGACCTGATTTAGAAAAAATTATCCTGTGCCCCGAAAAGAAGCGTTAGCTGTAGTAGCATTCATAATTAAATACAGACCATAGTTTCTCTGGTAGTACTTTTTAAAACAAATAGATCACAAGGCGATCCAGTGGCTTCAAAACTTTAAAGATTGTGAGGGGAAAACAACACAGTGACACGAGTACGATTTAGGGTGACAACACAAAAATGCAGACTCCTTATTTCACTCATCAGGAACTGTACCCTTTGGATTGGTGATAAACTTTAGATTAAGTGCCCAAAGTTTTCAGGTTAACGAGGGAGTGCGAGTGAAAACGAGTTAGTTGGGTCCTTTGTCATAGGCCTATACGTTATGACGAACACTTGCTAAATCTTGGAGTAAAGGGAGAAGTTGAAGAATACAATCGGCATTATAAACGACTGAAGCGGTACAGAGGAGTAATGAATAGCTCTAGGAATAACGCAACTACTGATACTGATTCTTTTCTAATAGAAAGGATAGCAGGAGACCCGGGTACCAATGGAGAGAAAGCTAAGGAATCTAGGAACCAAGGCTGATTGACAGTGAGGTTATAAGACGGTTTCGGACCGCTTCGTTGGTGCGAAGGTGAAGTTTGGCGTGGGAGCTCGTGTGGATGCTAAGAGACTGAGAACCTAAAAATGAACAAACTCACCTGTGACGCAACATCTCTAAAGGTATCTGACAAAAGTAGTGATTGCTAACGTCTTTATCAGATAAGATTTCTTGTCATTTCCACTGTTATTTCTTCAGACGTTGGCAAAAAGACCTGTTGTTTTGGCAGATATCACGACACTAAATTACATTTTTGACAGTCCCTAAATACTTAAACAGAAACAGAGCACCCCAAGAGACGATGATAAATACCACCAGTATAACAGACATGTTCATTATAACTATCTTCCTTTAAAAACTGGACAATTTTAAGTAATAGAACAATTTACTCAAAACTACTTAAGGGCTCTTTAAGCTAAGGCAGTCTTCTATAAACTAAAACAGTGGCTAATAGCAATACGTTTAATACTGAGTCTCATATTGAAAGATGAACATCAGTTTAATCATTCCTCCTTACACTTGGAGGTTGTGAATAACAGGTAATTGTTTGATTAAGTACAGAAAGACGATTTTATTCACTTAAGATTCTAATGGAACTTGAAAGATGCATTTTAGATTTATTATTTGTCAAAGGCAGACGTCACTGTAATTAGTTCTAATCGTTCGTCCTTTCAGAGCACATTTTAAAGCTTTGCATTAGCTAAACTGTAGTCACTGAGTACACAGGAAAAGACAAAACTGGATACGACATGCCTTTGAAAGTTGGACGGGAGAGCAGAATCAAACAATGTAAACATGTACTAATTGGGATACAAATGGCTGAATTTACTTCTCCAAGATTACTTAATGAAGAAAACAAAGACCGTTAGTCATACATAATAGTTTATTAGGATGACAGGCTTGAACACACTACTGGTCAATAAAGACGGTTTTAAGAACAATGGAATAATTTATTTAGTTACTAAGATCAAAACGTCAGATAGAGGACTTTGAGGGTGATTTGAGCCTACTTTCGGTTTAAAATAATAAAACAAAAATAACTAGACTTGCCGATTGCTACAATTTTTCCAGATAGCTGTTGTAATTCTATAGGCTCTCGTGCCGGCTCTAACAAACGCCATAAGCCAGGAACTCCCATTAGAAATGTGTTAAATGTCAATTATCGGACCACAGGTGTGATGTTGATTGACTGATTTAAATCCACTTAAACATCTACAGTGGATATGGGGTTTAACTGCAAGAAAAACACTTTTTTAAAATAATGTTCGCATATAATCACAGAAAAAACTTGGCCATACATCAAAAAGTTCAGTTATTATCAATATGTTATGTGTGAATAAGTGTTTTTTAAAGCAAATATTTTCAAAAAAATAAAGATTTTTACTCATCGATCATTCGATCGTATGAAGTTTTCGTTGACTGTGGGCTTAACGACAGTTCCATAAGCGTCTGTCCTTCAATTATGCTGCTTCTGAAAATAGACGTACTAAGATTTTTGCGGATAACCAGCTACTCTTTTCAGTAGTTTTAATCGCAAAAATTTTCGGTTCAATATCAATAAATCTCTTAAGCACGGTGGACGAAAGCGTACCAATCCGCAGGATCATCAGACCAATACAAATGAACAACTACCTTCTTATTTTCAAGTTACTGTACTGTTAGAGTGGTACATATAAAAATCCCGAAGAACATTATTGTTGCCCATACTTACTTAAATACTCATGAATTTCCGCTAACCAGAGGATTTTATTACTATATTAGAATTTCATCTCAGCTCAGACGCAGGGAGTCTAGACTCCGCTATTTTGCCTGCTGCAATCACACCGACTACCGCATTTAATACTGTAGTACCTATTTTTTGTATCTTTTGCGTTCGCTACATATATTTCGCATCTACTACAGAATTATGGGAGTCGAAAAAGATTTTACTATTGAAGTTCAGACTCAGATCTGCGTGCTCTAATTACCGCAGCTAATATTCACATCAACCGTCAGACTGGAAATCTCAGACGGTATTTAAAACGTAGGGAGACTTCCATCGAAAACTTAGGGTTGATAAAACAGTTAGCACCAACACTAAGGACGAATATACCTGTTAAAATAAATAGGCGAGCAAGCACGTACATGAACACACAGGTGATTACTGACTTGTAATTTTAATATTTATTACGTTAATTTCCTACTTCTCACCGACAAATTTCAATTGTGTCATATGAAAATTATGAAAATATCATAAATAAACTGGCAATATATAATCTAAAAACGCATTAGAACGTTTTAAATCCGTAACATTTTATTACCCTTCCTACTTTAAGCTTACTTATGGTACTGTATTTTACTCATGCCTTCATAATCAGCATCTACTAAAATGTTAAGTAACGCAACTTTCGTAGTTTCTTCACATTGTCTTCAAATCTCAATAATCAAACTAATGTCTATGTAGCAGACTAGTGAATGAGTCGAGCTAATCTTATTGCTCCTCTTGGAGCAAAAATTGCTGATGAATAGTCTTCCAATCGATTCTGTACTGAACTCTCTTTTTCAGTTATTTTTAATTGCTATTCATTTTTTGATTCCAAACGGTACTCAACACCATACATCAACTTCTTTGATTATGAGAAAACATTTGATAGCGTGGATAAAATAACTTTGTGGAATTTTTTTGACGTTCTATGATGCCCGAAATGATTGTTGCCATTGAATGGAGTTCCTACAAAGGAGTCAGTTGCAACGTTGTGTATGTGGGGCAGCTCATCGATACATTCCAAGCAAAAACTAGTGTCAGACAATACTGCATGCTCTCATCTATTCTCGTCATAATAATTGTTGGCAGGACTATTAAGACCTCCTCCCAAGGGAATCACTGAGCACTATTAGCACATGGAACGCAATTGAATGGTTTGGATTTTCCAAAAGACAACCCAAGCATAGCACACAACAAAAGATGTGGACGAAGACTGGCTGTGTGCAAGTAGATTTTAATGAAGTAGACCTTAACAATAACAACAAAAAGAGAGAATTTTGAATTGCAGCACGAGGAGGGTGATGATGCAACGGATATTCTAGTTTTACAACTAGATGCCAGTAGCACCTTCTAAATTCGGTTGTTCCCAGTCAGATAGAAATCAGAAGTCGGACGAGAATAGGCAGGAAAGATATATTTGATTCGCTACCAATATATCGAGGACCTTTTCTATGAGCTGGCTAATGAAACGTAGGAGCTGTGTCCCACGCAGTATTGAAACGTGATCTGGTGCGGATGCATGACCGAAAGCCTTCAGCTAAACAAGTCCACTTAAACAACGTGGTCAGCATCCAATGTCGAACACTTAATGAGCTATTGATTTTGGGGAATTATTTACAGCTACAGATCACTCCCCCCCTAGTGAGGTAGTGATGCCCCTAAGACGTGACCAGCCAGAAGTTTAAACCCAACGAATTTGTCGTTGGTAAACACTCTTCTGATAGCTTGCTTCGTTTAGCAGCGTCTGGTCGTCTTTCCTTAAACTATGGGACCAAAATGTACAACGTAGCAAATAAAGAAATATAGTACAATGAAAATTTCTGTTCCTTGCGAAACTTCGTCGTTCTTTTCCAGCCGTCCTGGAAAAGAGGAAAAATAAAACGTGTGAGTGCATGTCAAAAATACACTCGTACTTGCGTAAGGACACAAGATGAGCGGAAAAAAATAAACTGATACACTTACAAACAGCGTAAAAGCGATCGGAAAAAAGGTTTTCTTTTGGTTTTTTTTTAATATATAAATATATATATATATACGTTCAAAAAAAATGTTTTTTTGTTTGTTTTTTTTTACATAAATAAAAAATGAGCATATTAAAAAAAATTTATAATAAACTTTGAAAGGGTAATTCCAGATAAAGCTTATGTCCTACGTGCAATATTCGTTAAGATGTTCTGGAAATCTTACTCGTCTTCCAGAACGCGTTGTTTTAGGTTTTTCTATCGACGTTGACGAAGTATCAAGTTGTGTGTCGGTTGTCGTGTAGGGTACTACGAGTGTAGTAGCTGTGTCGTTTGCTTGTACCGAAGTAAAATCGACGTAGCTAGGGTTTCCTTCTAGGTACGCAGCTTTGAGTCGATCGATACTGATGCTATCTTTCGTACCGTTCTTATCAACTACATAGTACTTAGGTTCGCGTTGAAGAACTTTGAAGGGTCCTTCGTATGCTGATTCGAGGGGTCGTCGATGTGAGTCTCGACGAACGAAGACGTGTGTACTATGTCGTAATTCGGGTTGAACGAAAACATCAGTTGATTGAGGTCGAGTGTGAGCAGGTTTAACTGAACGCATAGCGTTTGTAAGCCTACTCGTGTAAGAGTTTAGATCCATGTTCAATGAAGAAGCTGAAGGATCCACGAATTCTCCTGGGAGTCGGAGTGTCGTTCCGTAAACGAGTTGAGATGCCGTGTGTCCAATGTCAGCTTTCACTGCATTGCGGATACCTAGCAAGACGAGTGGAAGAGCGTCTGTCCACTGTGAAACGTTTGAAGCTGATAATGAGGCTTTTAGTTGTCGATGAAAACGTTCTACCAACCCGTTTGCTTGTGGGTGGTAGGCGGTCGTTCGGAAGCGCGTGATTCCTAAAAGTGTGGTCAGACAACGGAAAAGTCCAGATTCGAACTGGCGTCCGCGGTCTGTAGTGATGGTTGAAGGGCAGCCGAAATTTGCTACCCATCGTTCGACGAAAGTGCGAGCCACTGTTTCAGCAGTAATGTCCTTAATCGGTACTGCTTCTGGCCATCGAGTAAAACGGTCTACGCATGTTAGGAGATATGAGTATCCGTTCGAGTCGGGTAAGGGTCCTACCAAATCTAGATGGACGTGGTCGAAACGAGCGTCAGGGGTTTTGAAAGAACCTAAGGGGCATTTGTTGTGTCTGATTACCTTAGATTTCTGACAGCTTACACAGGAGCGTGACCACTCCCTCACGTCTTTATTCATGCCAGGCCAACAAAAGCGTTCGGCTATAAGTTCGATTGTTGCACGAGCACCTGGATGAGAAAGATTGTGCAACGTATTGAAGACGTTGCGGCGATAGTGTTTTGGTACAATTGGACGATCCCTACCTGTAGATGTGTCACAGAGTAAGGTTTCCTTACCTGTTCCCATCTGCCTAATACTTAGTTTTAGAGTTGTCGAGGATAACTCATGCTGAAGATCAATGTCTTCTTTTTGAAGCTGAGCGAGTTTAAGAAGGTCGATTCCTTGGAAACTGTTCAAGGAGCTAATTCGAGACAAGGCGTCTGCGACTACATTGTTTGCTCCAGAAATATGTTGTATGTCTGAAGTAAACTGCGAAATGTAGTCGAGTTGTCGAGACTCTCTTGGTGAGTACTTGTCTGAAGATGAACTTAAAGAGAAGGTAAGAGGTTTGTGATCGGTAAAGAGCGTGAATTCTCTTCCTTCGATGGAATGTTGAAAATGCCGTACAGCACAATGCATAGCTAGGAGTTCCCTACCGAACGTGCTGTACCTAGATTCAGCGTCTATCAACCGTCTCGAGAAAAATCCTAAAGGTTGCCACGAGTTGTTAACCCATTGTTGTAAGACTGCTCCGATTGCTGAGTCGGATGCGTCTACGGCGATACTAATGGGCGCTTGACTGTCCTGATGAGCAAGCAAGGTTGCTTTAGCGATGTGTTCCTTAACTGTGGAAAATGCTTTACGGGCTGTGTCGTCTAAACTAATTGATTTCGCATTTCCACGAAGCTGATCGGTCAACGGTTTCATTAGGGATGCGCATTTAGGTATGAACCGTCTATAGAAACTTACTAGTCCGTTAAAAGTTCGTAACTGCTTGATCGTGGTCGGTTCTGGGTAATCCAGAATGGCCGCCACTTTGCTCCTAAGGGGTCGGATGCCTTGGGCATCAATGGTGTGTCCTAAGAAGTCTAAGCCGTTAGTTCCGATTTGGCATTTCTGAATGTTGACAGTAATGCCATGCCTTTGAAGTCGATCGAAAACAATGTCCAGATGCTTGAGATGCGATTCTCTGTCCGGACTTGCTATTAGACAGTCATCAACATACGCATGTACGAAGTTGAGACCTCGGAAGACGTCGTCTATAAACCTTTGGAAGGTTTGAGCCGCGTTTCTTAAACCAAAAGGCATTCGTAGAAATTCGTAAAGACCGAAGGGAGTGATGATGGCGGTTTTAGGAATGTCGTCAGTTGCCATCGGGATTTGGTTATAAGCTTTAACCAAGTCGATTTTCGAAAAGACAGTTGTACCTTTCAAGGTAGCTGTCAAATCGTGAATATGAGGCAGCGGGTAACGATCGGGAATGGTTTTAGCATTCAGACGCCGATAATCACCAGTTGGCCGCCAATCATTGCTGTCCTTTTTAGGGACCATGTGCAATGGGGATGCCCATGGACTACTCGATGGTCGAATTATTCCTAGGTCCATCATGTGGTTGAATTCGTTTTTAGCTAACCTAAGTTTTTCGGGAGCGAGTCTTCGGGCTTTCGAAAATACAGGTGGTCCTGTAGTCGAGATGTGATGTGTAACATTGCTGGTTACACAAGGCAATTTCGATTGCGATTGGTATATCCCGGGGTATTTGTCGAGTACTGCTTGGTACAAGGGGTCTATGGCGTGCTTAATCGTGACTGGGGATAACCTGCAACCAGAACAAGGAGTTACGCAAACGGACAACTTAGTGTTTCCGTCTATTAACCTTCGTGAGCGTGTGTCGATGAGTAGATTGTGGTGTTGTAACAGGTCAATACCAATGATTGGCATAGAGACATCTGCAACCACGAAAATCCAGTGTATGGGTTTACGTAAACCCACGTTAAGGTAGACGTACCTTTTACCGTAAGTAGCGATCGGCTTTCCGTTTGCCGCCTGTAAACTTAAAACAGACTCGCGAAGTCTGTCGTCGAGATTTGCTGGAAGAACGCTAACTTCTGCGCCAGTGTCGACGAGGTAGCGAACTTTCGTAGTCACATCCGTGACATATAAGAGGCGGCTGTGTTCGCCGGCTACGGTTGCCGTTAACGCGTGCCGGCTGGGAAGTTTCCCGAACTGTTTTTCGCGTCACTCGATTTTGGGGTCGGATAATTGCAAGGTTTCCTGCAGTTTCTGGAAAACTTACCGTACTGGTTATGATACCAGCACCAGTCGGGATTGTCTGTCTCTCGTGGTCGAGAGCCAGATCGCTTACGTGAGGCACTTCTACGCAGGGTTTTTGACCGACTACGGTCATTGCGAACTCTAAGATATCGTGTAAGCGTGTGACATAGTTCGGCCATGTCAGTCGAGGTCGATTGGGATTTTTCTTTGATGGAAAAAACCTCGGCCTTAGAAGATCTAGTGATTTCCAAGATTCGATCGGCAGATGCAGCTAGTTCATCTATGGCATTGTTTTGAAATGAAACAAG